ACAAATATGTCCAATGCTTAAGTAATACATGAGCATTGATTTTGTTATAAAACTCATTAGAGAAGTCTAAGACTGGCAATAGTGTAGCTAGTATTGCCTTTAAAAACTGTTTAGTCATGGTTCGATAATAACAAAAAGTTATATATTTATAAATATATTTATATATGAGCCTTAACTTGCATGTACTTAAGGGAGCTACCTATGCTAGCAAGATTTTCCCTAACTAGCAAAAAAATTCCCATTGAATGTAACTGAAAACATTCTAAGAATCAACTGGGGAGCAGTGTAAAAATATAGCATACTTTTCTGCTGATTGGGTTTTGCTGGCAAAAGTCAAAAGCGCAGGCTATTTGCTAGCACAACTTGGAAGGCGACCAAAACGAAAGAAATATTAAAGATAGCACTCAACAAATGTGCTACGTATGAATAAGTTTTTATGAGTGTGCCTGCGTGTGCTTGTGTGTGTGTGTGTGTGTTCTTTGTGAAGCATAAATCAGAGCATAGCTACAGACAATGGCCTGCCACACGCATGCAGCCTATCTGCATGTGTGTGTTAGGTAGATACCCACACATATATATACTCTGAGCTGACACAGACACAACGTGGCATTTTTTTAACATTCGTGCACCTTGTTTGGGGTAGCCATGAAAAGATTGCACATGGCTTCAGCTCGTTTCATTGGGCAATTTATACGGCCATTGGCAGCAATAACTGAAAACGGAATACAAAAGCCAGCAAATATCTACAAAAATACTCAATAGAAACTGACTTCAATTAGTAAGAGTGCTGCAAACGCACACACACACACACAGACACACGCAGTAACTAATTGAAGCTGGCTGCAACAGCAAATGCAAAGCTAAACCGCAACGAAACATTTCAAAGGATCTCAAGCGAATGTCCTGTTGCCTGGTAGCCAATGGCCAATTCAATTTAATTAAATCTCACCAATGTCTGCTAATGATGTGCACATAACATTTAGTAGGCGTGGCATGCCTCTGAGCTAATTAGCATTCAGAAAGACGAAACGAGATTGTGAGAGAGAGAAGGAGAGAGCAACGACGAGAGTAAGAGAGAGAGAGCCAATTGAAATGCAGTTGAAGCTCGTTATTTGATCAGATGTCGAAGCTGAGGACAGGCGCTAATCAAATTCATTTGTAACACAATTTACACCTGGAAATCGCTAGCAATTACCTATATAGTATACACCTGCCAGCTGCCAGGTGCCAGCTGCCAGCGACGGATGTAATGCCAGCCGGAAGTTGGCAAAGATGGCGGAGACGACGCCATTGCCTGCTGTTAACAAGCATCGACATGTCCTTTGGGCCCAACACTGCGTGTGAGTGAGTGTCTACGTGTGTGTGCGTAAAAGGTCTCTGGTTTTGTATTAAAGCAAATTATGCCTTTTATTATTGCAGCCTTTGCAGCTATGAAAATATCCCAAAGCTGCTGCCGTTGTTGTTTGCTCAGCGTGGATTTTGGTATTGAGAGTCCTGCTTTCAGGCTTCACCTTGGCTTGGCTCGCACATAGGCAAACTCATTACGAAAAATGTGCGTCCTGCGGCGTTCAAACAAAGCAAAGACTCCCACCCAGCCTGAGGAGTAGACAACAGCCGCTCGACCCCCTCTCCTCACTCCACGCCCATACCCCTCTGACCCACATATATGTGTACGTATATGTTTGCATGGCTTGTTTATGCCGAAAATCATGCTGGAGTACAAATCCACCCACATATCGATTTTGTTTGATGTTTAGGCCAGAGCCTGAGAACGCGTTCAGACCAGGACATGCCACGAGTAGCCACCCCAAGGCGCAACAGCCGCATCCACATCAACATCAACATCAGCATCAACAACAACATCATCACCTCACCTACCTGGATGGAAGCTTTCGTTAGCATTTACATTGTGCCGCATTTATTTAACGCTCGCTATTTTAAAATATTTAAAGTGTGTAAATGCCAAAGAAATACTCATTGTTCGCACAGGGAGGTTCGGTTCAACAAGTCTTGATGATCCAATTGGAATACTTATTGTAAGCTCGGCCATTGTAGGCACAGGGTGTCACTATTAAATCAAATTGGAATACTGGTTGTATGAATGAGATGCCCAGTTGGAAAATGGAATTATGTGGAACTTATTTATTTTTTAAATCATTACGAATATTCAAATACTTTTGGAGGTGTTAACAGAATCTTTGATAACTTTTTCATTATTGGTTACTATTCAAATACTTTTCAATGAAGGATGATTCAATTACTTGAGATTTGGTAGCTCTACTTGTTACTTTATTGAAATTTATTATATATATTTATATACTTTTTTATATTTTTGTTATAGTTTTAGTATGTATATATATATTTATTTATTTATTTATTTATATATATATTTATTTATTTGTTGTATACGATTACGCCTTATATACCTAAAGTTTACCCTAATCAAGTCCCTTCTGTTTTGAAACACCCTGTATTCAAGATTTAACAGGCTGAACTTTCAGCTTGAATCAGCAAGCTTTTCGCTACAATTCTTACGAGCTGTTTGGCTCTGTTTTTATGTGAAAACAATTACACTTTAGCTTCATACAAATACCTTGCCAAATATACAGACTGTTTCCCTTACTCTCTCTCTCTCTCTCTCTGCTTGTGTGTATATTGTTATGGCTGCTATAACCTGACCCTGATTATTAGCAACGCTCAGAGCCGCACTCAAGTGGGTGCTGTACTTATATACTATATATATATTTATTTAGTTCGCTTTGCTCTTAGCAGTCTATTTGTAGTTTTCGCACATTTAATTAGCTGACGCAGATTTGACGCACAGCTCGTGGGAGTTCATTAGACAGCAGCTGCACAAAAAACCAACCTCAAATTCTTTGAATTGCTTTTAAAATAAGCAGCAGCAGCCGCACACACACACACGCACACATGCAGAGAGACATACATATACACATAAGCTTAGCTTTGTGTCAGCTTGTTTTTTATTTTCAAACGGGAATTGCATTGTGCACAACCCAATCCGCTTAGGGCTTGTGTTGCTGTTGCTGCTGGTGCTGCTGCCGCTGCTGGTTGCACGGCTTCAGTTTGACGACAAAATAAACAATGCACCCAACAGCAGCAACAACAACAACAACAACACCTGTCCTTAGCGTGGGAGTTGCTGCTGTAAGCTTGATAAAAAGCTGCTGCCAATTTGCTGCTGTTGGTGTCGCTGCTGATGAAAAATATTTGCACTCAATGCCAGAGCAGACAACGGCGCTAAATCGCGCTGCTTAGTTCGCAGAAACCAAAGCACTTTCATTAGCTTAACGTCGCCTCATGGTCAGTGGCAGCGCCACCCAACTTCAGGCACTCACTCAGCCGCTTGTGGCAAGGTCAGCTACGTTGTAGCATGCCCCATGCACAGCATAATTTCCTGGGGTAAAGCCCCAAAAACCAACCCGCACCAAATGTTCTAAAAAGGAGAAACGAAAGCTGCAGCCAAAAGCTTTCAGGAGTTTGTAATTCAAACTTGTGTGTGTGTGTGTGGGCGTGGGGTGTTAGGTAGCAGCAGCAGTAGCTCGTCCTTGGCATAGCCCGCGCTAAATTAATACAAATATTTAGATAATTAATTATTTAGTGCACAAGCGAGAGAATCCAACAAAGCAACTTAAAACAAAAAACAAAACGAGCAAGAGGAACAGCTAACGAGTTGCTTCTATTTAAAACTAATCATCTCTTTTATTTATAATTTAGCGTGTGTTGTACAATTTGTAATATAAATAAAAAAGTTGGTTTATATAATATTAACAGTTTTTTTGCATTTTTACATAATTTATATTCACTTTAAAATATAAACGGAAAATGTTGAAATTGTTGGATTTCTTTTTTATATATTTTGTACGTTGTTAAATTTAACTAAATGTGTGTGTGTGTCTGTGTGTGTGTGTGTGGGTGTGTGGGTGTTTTAAATTGTCTTTAACTTAAGTGTAAGTGCCACACGACCTCCATAAACCTCCTCTAATGCTACGAGTATTTGTTGCCAGTTAAATAGTATCTGTATCTGTATCTGTGTATCTTTATATGCATCTGCATCTGTATCTGTGTGCGGTTGCTGGGGCTGTAATACTTTCGACTCAGCTGAACTTAAGTTGTAATTTTTAACTTATGCGCTAAGCCATGTCCAAAATGTGTTTGTTTGTGTGTGTGTCTGTGAGTGCTGAATATACATGTATTGGTGCACTAACAAAGCTCTGTTAGGACATGACTATACTCTAGATATAACTATAAACATTCCACGAATGTCATGCCAAAAAATTAAACAATCGAAGGCCTTTTAACAATGCTTAGAACACGAGAAATCAAAAGGATTAGCTTCAGACTTAAGATTAATGTAATTACAATACAAGTACTTAATAAGGCGCTATCAGTTATGTTGGGCGGGGCATCGATGTCCACAGACTATGTAAATAATGTTAAATTATTTACTAGTTGCTTCTTTGTTGTTGTTGTAGAATAACTATTGTTAATTTTTACAAGTCATTTCAATGAAACAAAATAAATAAACGAGGGGCAGTAGCGCATTAACTGTAACTATAAACATAAAACTAAACGAAACGGCAAGTGCAACTGCAACTGCAAATGAAACTGTGCAGCTGCCATATGTGGCAACTGCTGCTGCTGCTGCTGCGACCGCCGCTGCTGCTGCTCCCAGCTGCCAGTTCGCCTACTCCAGCAATAGTCGCCCATTGTCCGCTGCTATTGGTCATTGACGGGGCTGCATTGGCGGCGCGTGCTCGCGATATGTCTTCAGCTTTGTCTCCATGGCCTGTAATGCAAAACAAAAACATATAAAATAACATTGTAATCAAACAGAAACAAAATCACAGTATAACGAACAAAAAACGAACAGATCAAGTTACAAAATAAATATTTTGTTATTTATTAACATAAAGCAATTAATAAATGCAAGCGCAAAAAACATTAGACTCAAGCCAAAAGCAATTACAAATTGTTGTTTGTATATGTATCACAGCTCAGGTGGCCCTGGCATACGCTCAGAGTCCTGTATGCTGCGCATGCGTTCAGCAAAGCGCTTAAATATGTTCGTGCCAAATTGCAGGCTAGCCAAACTGGCTCGCCGGGTAGCATTGCACTCCGTCCAGCTGCCGCTGCCGCTGCATTCGCTGCTGGGCGTCGCCAAAGTGGAGCTGCAGCCACTAGAGCTGCTCGTGCTGACAAAGGCTCGGCGAAATAGACTTGTTTCGCTGCCTGGCGACAGTGCAGCACGTTCACAAATGCAACGAAACTTTTGACATTCAGGACATAACAAGGCCTTGTCCAACTAAAACATATGAAGAAAGTATTGAACAAAAGTAAACACAACAAAAACCAAACGAAAAATACATTAAACACAAACATTGGAAGGATATAGGCATAGAGTATAGAGAGTAAGCGTTGCTGGCACCATTCTTGAGTTAATTTTCGTTTCAAGGGACTTACGTTCAGTTTTCTTAACATGTCGGCCACAATGTTGAGCGCCGTGGTGCGGGAGCTGGCATTCATAGCATTGCCATTGATAAGGTTCTCGGGATCTGCAAAGGAAGCACACAGACACGGTTTGGTTAGTTATATCAGTAGACTAGGTCTAAGACACACAATTAATAAACGACATGATAACATGAGTGTTAGTGACAAAATGCTTAACAAGCTAACATTTAGATACAGATACAAACACGCAAACACAGTTACACACATGAATTGCCTACGAGAAATGTTGCAAATATAACAAATTTGGCTTACATTTAATAATTTTGTGCATACAGAAATACAGCAATGAAAAATGAAATTAAAAAAAAAAAATAAAACTTATTTATACATTGAACAAATTGAGCAATTGTGTGGCAATGCAGTGAGCTGTGAATCGCGATTGTAGCTAAAAGCAATTGGCTGATTTGGCATGGCAAGACGATTTTGATTTTGATATTGATATTGATTTTGATTTTGATAATTTGAGTGCGCGTTTTGTTTGCTTCAATGAATGGAGAATCTTACTTTTAAGCGAATGTTGCTGTTGATTATATTCGTTTCTATTATTTAAACTGCCATTTAGAGCATTCACACTCATACTAGTCGCCTTCGTGGCGGCATTGTCATGTTGCAGCAGTATATCACCATTGGCCACAATACCATTGGGCAGCGATGCTGAGGAGTTCATCGAGCTGTTACCAGCTGCTGATGACACTGTTGTTGTTGTGCCATTCGCTGGCGTATAGCGCGACTTCACATTGAGCTCTTGTTTGAGATCTACAAAAGAATGTCTACTATGATGAAGTTCTTCAGTTTGTTGCTTATGATACTCACCGCGAGTCTCGTCCATTAGTCGCTGTAACTTCTCTTGCAGTACCTCCTTCTCGTCCACCTCCATCTCGAGGAGTGCATTCTTTTCATAGGCTTTGTCCAACATCTTCTCAAAGTCTACTATGCTCTCATTGAGTATACGATGTGCACGCTCCAGATCATCGTTTTTCTGCTCTAATTGCCGCAGGTATTCTTTCATGGAATCGCGTTCCTTCTTGACTGTTTCCAGCTGTTTATCTAGATTTGACATTTCAATGCCATGTGAGTCCAGCTTGAGCTGTAAGAGAAATTATATTTATTTCTAACTCTGAGCTGATGTTGAATGGATTGAACACACCTTGAGTGAATCGTTTTCTTTCTCTAACATATTAAGCTTGGCTCTGAGATCTTTGATTATACTCTGTTTTTGCTCCAGAGTGGCGTCCATTTCAGCTTCCATTTCTCTCGACTGTTCAACATACTCATCGTACTCCTGTTTGACGTCTGTCCACCTACAAAAAAAAAAAGGCTTAAGTAACTTCGACTATTTGTTATACTCTTTGAATACTTACTCTTTGTGGTACTGTTTTGACCGCTCTTTCCAGTATCTGCACTCGTCTTCGACGCTGTTAAATATTGGTGTGGCCTCCATATCCTATGCTCTTTATGTTGTTTACTAGTCGGTGGTCAAGCAGGGTTAGAAATGTTCGTTCGTTCGTTGCTTATTGGCTTTATCTATTTTGCCTATTTTCTATGTAGCAAATTCGATTATAATTGGTCTGTTGCTTTTGTTTTGTGGCACTTCACTTCAGATTTAATTTTTCTTTTTTTTATAATGCCAAAACACAGTTGTTGATGTTAAGTCATTGATCTGAACGCGTTGCTGAAAATGCGAAAAATCAATTAGAAACAGGTGTTCTCATTGTTGATGTTGTTTCTATAGTTGTTTTTATTGTTGTTGCTGTCTATGCCGCCCTAAATCACACACTACCAACTACATAAACATTTGTGTGCCTCGCTGACGTCGCCGCCAGTTTGGCTCTGCGTTTCCCGTACCTAAGCCAACAACAATAACAGCAGCAACAACAACAACAACAAGAGCGTCAAAGCAAAGATACGACGAAGTTTCCAATACAACAACGCGCAGCAGCAGCACCACCACAAAATGAAATCATCACTCATTTTCACATGCCTGTTTTACCATATTAAACCTAATCTTATAGATTACAGGACATTAAACGTTTATTGGCATGCATAACTTACACTTTGCGAATAATTTGACTACGTATGCTTTGGTTTATTTACATAAAAACCGCATATAAATAGTTATGCCTGTAAAAAATTACCACTACTCCAAAATGCACAAACCAACCTGTAACCCTGATCCAGTGTTGCAAAGCGTCGGTTGCGGTCAGCCCTGTTCATTTGCACTACAATATTTCAGTTGAATTTAAATGCAATAGTTTTTTTTTTACTTATTTTACATATTTTATATTTATTTTTACGATTTGCCTACATAGCTTTGTAACAGATTAATTTCCTTCGAGTTTTACGTTTGCGTATTGTTCTCTTGACAGTTATATCAGATTTAGTCAAAGATCAACCAGGAAATACAATGGATCTGTTTGTTGTATCATTACTGCTATCACTGAACATATAAAAGACATAATTGATATCTGTGGCATCGTCAATAAATTGCGGAACCTTTAAAATCACTTCGCGTCTTGAACTTGAAGTGTTAAGCTGTTTCCCGGTCACCAACAATTCTTGGAGGTAACGCATTAAAAGAAGTTTTGCGTAAATTGGCGTTGGCGGCGTTTGCGTAGCAGCCTTAGATTTATCATTTCTGCTTTTTAATCACTAAAACTTTCGTAACCATTATTAACTTTTGAAGTGCTGTAATCAGGTTCCTTAACATCTTTTTTAGACGATTAATTTTCTTTACTTTTATCCATTTTAAAGTTTGACCGCTAATCTACATTTGCGACGTAAATATATATGTCAGCTGGCCGACAACGACAGCTCTATGTGAGGGCTGCACAGGTAATTGCAGGGCTACACAATAAAAAGAACTGTTCAGTGTGGCCAAGCTGAAAGAATAGTGTGGCCAAATGACTCAAATGTGCGTCGAAGGCAGCAGCAGTGCAATTTCAACAAAATAAGGTAAATTATAGCACAAGAAACATAAAAACATATATCAATTAGCACTATTGTATACATCAAGTTGTCAAGTGATAAATATCGAAACTCTGTGTTGGATTTGTAAGGCCGATGCGGCTAAAAGAGCAATAAAATTGATTATTGCGGCGCATGCCGAAAAGGGAGGATTCAACAGCAAAGAGTGTAAAAGAAAAAACAATGTAGGAAAAAAACAAGCGAATGCACCAAACAAAGAAATCGTTAGCTACTGCTTAAGCAACTAAAAATATGCTTATAGAGCATACAAATAATTCTCATGCTATTTGTTTTTCAATTATTTGCAGTTGAAGCATTTGCGTTGCGATATACAAAAATCAGCAGCAGCAGCAAAAACAACAACACCAACACCAACAGTAGCAGCAACAGCAACAACAGTTTCAATTGCAATTTGAGTGAGTGCATTAGTAACGGGAAAAGAGAATAAGTGCCGAAATGGCTGATCCCGAGAGACAAAGCTTGATCAACAAAGACGAGCCGACCTCGGCTTCGTACACATCGTTCCCAACCGAAGGCAACGAAAATCCCGGCGGCAGCGCCGTAGCCAATAACGAAGAAGGTACGTAGAAAATCTAAAACTGTAGACCCAATAAACCGAACCCTAAGCAAAAACGGAAATAAGTGCGTTCACCCCGCCTATTCGCTCGCCAGCATGCGTGCATATGGATCTATGCGGGCGTGATATGTCTTGGCTGGAAACCCAACAAGTGTGCGCTCTACTTATCAGCCACTGTGATTTCCAGTTAGTTGTTTAGTTGTAGCTCTTGTCTAGCATTGCATACCCAGATTTTCGCACTTCCCTCAGACTGAGTCATTGATATGGTCGGCCTCATTGATATGTGTGTGGGTGTGTGCCATAACTACACGTTAACTACGCGACATTCGAAAGAAAGTTCGTAATTTGATGCCGAATGTTGTCCAATTCATAGCTGATTGCCACACTTTTGCATTACTTTTGAGAGTAAGCAATTACAGCTATAGCAAATCTTTGGTAACATGTGGGAATAATATGTGGCAAATATATTCCCAACCGTTTTAATCATTAGGTACTAAGATATAACAAAATACAAAAAACCTAGACAAGTTTTTATTACCAGACTTATATATAATATACTTATTCTATCTAACATAAAATATATTAACGTGTAGCTTGGTGTTTTATCTTTTTAATCTGTCTTAAGATAATTTATCATTTCAAACAGTAAAACATTCGTGAGCTTATCATTTTAGGAAATTTCAAATGATATAGAATAATCTATATCATTTTTTAAATAATTTATATTATATTATTTTATATTTTACTTATCAAAAATATATGCAAAATTTTGTTTAAAATCTGCATACTATATATATGTATAATGTGCTGTCTACTGCTTATTGAGAGTATATTCAAACTTCGACTTTAAAATAAAAACTCTTTTGCATGCCTATTGTTTTGTTTATGCCTTGATATCAATTCGTAGTTGCGCAGTCGGCAACGGTAGCGTTTTCATCGTCGTTCAGCTGTTTAATCAGCACTGTAAAGGCATGCAGCCAGAGAAGCATTTTATGAGTCATGCGCCTGTTTTCCATTATCGTCGCGCAGACAAATGCTGTGCACTGCCCTGACTTCACTCCTCTTTGCACTTACTCTTTTGTTGAGTGCCAAGCTCCTGATCACTGAAAACCCTCTCAACGCTAAACTGTGTGCTATTTATAGCTGCAGTTTAATGTAGTTGGCTCTCCCCCTTGAATCAACAAATAACTTGTTTGAAACTGCAATGAGGCGTCTAAATGTAGATTTTCTAGTTGTAGTTGGTAACCGAAAGTATCTAAGCATTGACATACTTGCCTTTATCTGCATGGCTGTCACACCCACTTGAGTTAATATCAATCGCACTCAATCAGCGGCTTTCATGCAGCTTTCAGCTTGCAGCAGCAGTGCAACAGCAGTGGCAACTGCATCAAGATGTATTTGTTTTACACTAAAGGTTCTTCTTCTCCACTTCTGAAGTTTACGCTTTACTGACATTACTGGTTTTGCTATTTGCAGGCAGCACCGCACAGTCGGTGCCTTTTATTGGTCCTGATGAGTTGCCACCGCCGTATCAGAGCAGCGGCACAGGTGGCGTACCAATGGTCACCTGTCGCGTGTGTCAAAACATGATTGACATAACTACAAAGCGGGAGCAACATGTGGTCAAGTGCACTCACTGCAATGAAGCAACTGTGAGTGACGCTGAAATTTTGCCTTTGATATTTAGCACACAATACTTATTTCCCATTCCATTGCAGCCAATAAGGAACGCACCTCCCGGCAAGAAGTATGTGCGCTGTCCTTGCAATTGTTTGTTGATCTGCAAGAGCTCATCGCAGCGCATCGCTTGCCCACGTCCCAATTGCAAGCGCATCATCAATCTGGCTCCCAGTCCAGTGACACCTCCCGTGCCCACCATGCCGGGCATGTGCCGTGTCACCTGTGGTCACTGCTCGGACACATTTTTGGTAAGAGATGCATAACTAAGCAAGAGTAATTAAGCTGTTTACCCTAGTATACAAAGTATTGTGTTTAGCCTGTTCTGTAATATTGTCTTTGTTGAACTTACCTAAATCTGTTTGTTATCTACAGTTTAACACCTATCATAATGCACTGGCACGCTGTCCACACTGCAGAAAGGTCTCTTCGGTAGGTTCACGCTTTGCCAATAGTCGTGGAATTCTGTTTGCTATCGTCGCATTGCTCTTCCTTGTTGGCAGCATTGGTCTAACCGTTGGCACAATCACATATGCATCGGTAACTACGAATAATAATAAGATAGATGAATAACAATATAAACATAATCTTTTTTATGTCCACAGCAACATGGCGGCATGTATATTCTTTACATTGCATTGTTTTTCATTGCGGCAAGCATGTTGGCGCGTTCCGTTTACTATTTCCGACTAAAAGTTAGCGCGATCGATGGTCCCATGTAAGATTCGCGGCGCGTCGGTTAATTCGGAAGTGCATTGTTTTATTTTTATAAATATATATATATCACACATATATATTATGCATATATATCATTCCTTTTGATATTAAACAAGAAAGAATCCCTTAAAACGTAATGCAACCGCAAATAGAACACGAACAGCAACAGCAAAGGACAAAGCAATTCGAACACATTTTCATATGCAGAACCGCCAAGCTCCTAATCAAAAAGAAAACATAAAATCATATATATATATATTTAAATGAAACAGCAAAAAACGTAGTTTTGTCGCGCATCTTACAAGAGTTATTCGTGTTGAATTAATATTAAACTTAGCTAAATAACTCCACAGCAAAGTAACTCCACATTTAAAGTGATTTCTAAAAAGCATAATTAAGACTTTAAGCCGAGCGCGTAAAACCTACAATTGAAAAATTAAATTTAAATTTAAATATAAATGAAAAAGCAGCAACAATTATATAACTGCAGCAAACAGAAAGCAAAAGCAAATGCTTAAAACGAATAAACATAAAGTGCTAAAAGGGGAACTAACAACTCTAAGCAGTCATTAGACCAAGGGACAGAATAGACTGACGGACACATATTGGACAGACAGACAGATTGAAGAAATTGAAAATATATTTATGGCAGATTGAAGCAAATTTTTTATAAATATCTAAGCGCCATTAGTTATATATAAATATATACTTTTATACGTTTGTGTTCTTGAATTGTATAAATATGTTTGTTTTGTGTACGTGCTTGTTTCATATTTTTTCAATATTTAACTTCCCTATATAAATTATGCGCTTAGAATCTGTTCGATTTTAGTTTTGCTTTTCTCTTAGAATTTATTACGGCACACTTCTCACATTACGCCAAAAGAAGGAAAAAGCATGTTTTCATTTTATATATAAATTTTTTGGGCGTTAGATATAGCGTATAGCTAATAGTGCTAATGGAGGTACACACACATAAAATTACAATTAACTAAATAATATATATGTCTTGAAGAACAACAAAAAGCATAAACATTTAATAGAGAAAAATCAACGCTCGTGCAACAATTAAAAAGGCAAAAACAACTAAAATTAAAGATTAAAACATCGTATAAATTACATTAAAAGGAAAGGTTTACTTTTGAAATATATATATAAATATATATATATACAACATTTATATTTAGTTCTATATTTAGCATACATACACATACAATGTAAATAAAATGAAATAAAACGAAAAACTAAACAAAATTCCTGCTTTCAATAGAAATCATTGAGGGGAAATTCAATTTTAAAAGGGATATTTCTGTGACATGAATTGCCTTTGCTAGAGCGTGTACGCTGCACAATTAACTGTACAATTTGGCAACACTTGGCAGCACTATTACGTCAAACGTTTTACTGGGCGCTGTCAAAGAACTTTTCTCCGAGCACAATGTCGTTCAATCCCTTTCCCATTGGTACCCAATTGCACGTGGAGACCTGCTTTGGGGATAGCATTACTGGAGAGGTGGTCACTTACGAGCATAGCGTCAAAATGTTAATATTAAACTGTCCGATCAAGGATAGCAAGGGCAAAAAGTGTTGCAATCAGAGCATTGTGAATTTAGACTTTTGCAAGAGCTTGAAAATCATACGTGAGGCCAAGGCAGCAGATAAGCTGAACGAACAGCCGGCACGCCTCAATTTGTTGCGCGTATGTTGAAAGAAGTCTTCACGTGGGGTTTCATTGGCCCTCTCTTACTGTCATTCTCTCTTTGCTTGCAGTTGGATCAGCGTCTGCGACAATCGGTGGAGCAACGTGAAAATTTGCTGCGCAGCCGCAACGAGCATGCCACACCGCGTGGCAGACAATTGTTTAATTTACTCTCCAAGCACTTCGGCAACAACGAACTCTCCTGGCAGCAGAACAATATAATGGTGCTCCAACAGGTGACTATTGTGCCACCCTATCGCATCTGCGACATCAGCAGCAAACAGCACTTGCCAAAGCTCGTCAGCTACGTGCAACGCCTCGTCGAGAAGTTCAATGCCCAGAAGGGGGAGCTGAAGGAGACAGGGGCCAGCAAATAGAGAAGCGAATGACACTGATATCATCGGCCGGGACACTTGGCAACGACATAAAAATCAATTATATATATATGCTCAATTTATATATACATATCTACTTATATATATATCTAGTTGCCTGGCACTTTGTTTGTCAACAAAAAAGCAAAAAACACATTTCCAAATACACAAAAAAAGCTTGTATCGTTCGCACACTCTGGAATGTACTTGGAGCATTCGGCTGTCTGGCTGATACATATAGATATATATATATATACACATATAAAATATAGTGTATTTAATTTAGTTTTATAGTATCTCTAGTATCTGTAGCGTCATGGCTGATGATGACGATAAACCAAAGAAGCACACGATCGACTCGCTCTTTCGCATCTACTGTAATTATAAGGTCTCTATATGTATCGTGCACTACTATATATACTTATATCTGTGTCTATATATAAAACTCCTTTGCTCAGGTGATTGGCACAGAGCTGGACAATGAGGAATTTCATAGCATTCTGCTCTCACAACTGGACTGCTGGCTAATGCAAGCCAAGCTAATGCCTGTACCCATAACGCGCACGCAAACTGGGCTGATCTATTTGCGCTATAAGTATATGCTATGCTATCATCATTTTGTTACAAATCTGATGAGACTCTTTCCTCAGAAAGTGGCGTCTAGATTATGAAGATTTTCTTGAAGTGCTGCAAATGCTTTCCGCCGAGGTCGATTTGGGCTATGAAGAGATGAAGGAAACTCTCGTCTTGGCTGGCGCACCCACCGGGGCTACAGAAATAGTTGTAGTCAAATAAAAATTTTAATTATGGTGAAGAGAACGATAAAATAATATATTAAAGTTGAAAACAATTATAATTACAACTAGAATTAATGAGAAAAAAGTTTAAATATTTAATGCTGTGATTCACATGTTTAAACAAACTTTTTTGCTGAGTATTCAAGTTAACAATAAGAAATATTTATATAATTTTTATATTATTTAAGATAGTTTACAATTGAACACTCCTTTTCTGTGTTAATAATTTTTTTGTAGCTATCATAATTTTTAGTTTTTTAGCCGCATTTTTGATCGATTAGCTTTTCGAGCACCTGAACAAATACATAACAAAACACATTGCAAAAATAGTAAATAATATACAATCAGCTGATTTAATGTATAGATATATATATAGATATATATATAATTGTAGTAAAATTTATATACTGCTGGATTCTTTTTTGTATAAAGCACATATCATTTTGTACTGGCGGCGACTTTTGGCTATTGCATAGAATGTGAATGTAGACCCAGTTTGATTTAGTCATTACTCATAGATACACACTATATAAATATGATATATATATATGTGTATGCGTGTGTGAGCCATATAGTATCTATATAATATCTTTGTAAACAACCGGCAAGTTCTGCTGAGTTTCTGGTTTTATTTATGGTTGCGCTCTTCCCTCGCTCTTTCGCGTTTATCGTCAAGCGCTGTTCAGCTGAAGGTCAATATAATTAATGTACACACGATTTTGTATTTCCGCTTTGTTGTGGTCTCACTGTAGCATTCGTTTGTTATTTGATAAGCTCTGTCTGCGTCATGGACTTGCAGCTGTGCATCATCTGAATAGCATCTATATAGTTGTATTGGTATGTAAGTAAATGTGGCACTTCGGATTAGTATGAATTGTGACTGGTCTGACTGGGATTGGATATACCTCTCTAGGAGTAGATGGTGCGCTCTAGCCAATCGTCTAGGTTAAAGAATGCAGTATCGGAATTGTCTGTATCGCGTTCGCGGAACATCTCAATAAAGGTCTTCACTTTGATGGCGCACATCAGGAAGTCATCGAAGGGCACCTTGCCCTCCCGCGAGCCGTAGCGATGGGCCAGCGCATTGAGCAGCCGATTGTTTAGATGATAGCCCGCCGAGTTGAGTGCTCCACGCAGATGGAAGCCGTCGATGCTGCCCGAGCGGCGCGTGTCGTACAACTTGAATACAGCGCGCCACTTGGCAATGTCTGTTAGGAGAGCTTCAAACTCATCGAAGCCCAGGCGACCCGAACGATCCTTGTCGAGCATGGCCACCATGGAGCGTACAGCATCCTTGGAGAAACCATCGGTGCCGACCATGACATCGCGCATCGAGTGATCCAAAATGCGTTTGAGCTCTTGCCAGTCCACTTCCTCGTCGCTACCCGCAACGCTGTCGAAGAGACGCTTGAGCGCAATACGCTGTGGATCGTCTTCGTCCTTGGGTGTGGGAGGCGGCAGAGCGGGCGCAATGCGATCGTCTGTCTCGCCGAAGCCCACCTCGTCATCGTTCTCCTCCATGTTGTTCATAGTCTCGGAGAAGACACGTATAATGAACTCGCCCTCCTCATTTGGATCAAAGGTCGAGGGCACAATCAAATAGTGACCTGGAGGCAGCTTGAATCGTGCGCAAACCTCACGCGTATTTATGAAATGTGGAGAACGAGCCACCGAAGCACGATATTTGAAGAAGTGAAGCCCTTGGGGCTTCTGCTCCATATCGCGATCTGTCAGATGGTAAATGGCAAAGCCAATGGTCAGGCAATCGATGCCCACGTTTCGTTTGCTGCGACGATTCTTTTGCATAAGCGCAACAATCACCGTGCACTTGCCGTCGTCGTCCTCTTCGTCGGGATCCTCCAGTGAGATAATGTACTGTGGATTGTGCCAGAAGGTTTCCAAAAAGTTGCGACAGCCGCCCGCCGTGACACCCGACGTCCACTCGCCTTCAAACATGGACATCTCCCACTTGCGGCGTGAACTCTGCTCCTGATTCTCGGTAAGTGAGTCGGGCGAGAGATTGCAGATTTCAACGCGATCAAAGTGATTGAGGAAGTCCTGGAAGGACATCCAGAACTCGCCATCACGATCGAAGTTCAAACCAATCGCCTCCTTCTGGTGCTCCGGAATAAAGCGCCATTCGGGCGAACTGTCGCTCCAGGGACCGCTCCACTCGGCATCGTTGCCCCAAGGATTACGCATGCGTATCATGGGCAGCTTGCCCTGACGATTGGGCGTCGATATGTCCAGCATGCAGACCTTGGTTATGGAGTACGCATGTCCACGTATCAGACCCTCGCGCGTCTCAGCCTCCAGCACATGTGGATCGGGTTCCAGGGAGCAGCCCATCATTGAACCACGCTCCGCTGCCTTAGTCATGATGCTGAACAGATTGGGAGGAGCATCCTTGATATCATACCACTCGGTGACACCGCCCGTAAAGTCCTCCATGGCTTCGCAAGTGGTTCCGCCTAAGAGAGAGAGTAAGGATTAAGAATGTCAGAATTGGTTTCAAATAAAAGAAACGACATGTATTTATTGACCCACCCTTTAGGGCTTCATAGGAGCCATGCAACTTGGCATATGCTTTCTCCAGTAGCGCGCTCCAGAATTCGTTTTTCTCAGTTGAGTGCATGTATATCAGCTCCCCATTGTAGGTGGGCAGACGGTCGTCGATAACGACCTCTACCCATTTACCATATTGCCAGAACTTGAAATGAAAGATGCCCGCATAGTTCTCTTGGAAGTCCTGATCCGGCGGTATCACGCGGAAGAAGAGCTTCGAGTCCTGCGTCAGATTCGCTGCGGCAGCCAAGAGCCAGCAATCGCCAAGCTCACCCTGCTGCACATCGAAACGCGAGTAGCCCTCGACAAAGAACTGCGGATCATCCACTATTTCGCTAGGGCGCAGCCATTCGATGTAGCGATCCGGACGACGCGAGAACATAAGTGAATCATTGTTGGCCGGAAAGTCGGGATCCTCGAACAACGTGTTGTTGGACACACATGACTCACGCAGCGTGGCAAAGTCGTCACCTTGGATGCTACGCTGACGCGTGGTATTCGCCTTGCGACCCATCCAGAACATGTTTTGATTCTCGGGCACCTTCACACTGGTGAACTGCAGCTCCTGTACGCCCACGGATGGCTCCTCCTCAGGCGTAGGCTCATTTGGTGGCGGCGCAGATGGCGTTGGCATCGATGGGTAAATAGATTGCGGTGCCGGGCTTGTAGGCAAGGGTGCGTAGGGCATGGGCATGCCTGGCATGCCCATTCCTCCAGCCATTGGATAGGGTAGCGACGGTGGGCCACTCGGATAGGGCGTCGCACTCGGATAGGGCATTGCACTGGGATAAGGCGTTGAGCTCGGATAAGGCATGGCACTCGGATATGGTGAGGCACTCGGATATGGCGACGCACTTGGTATAGGCGCCAGCGGTGTGGATGGATACGGCAACGGCATCGCAGGAAGATTGGGATAAATGCCAGCGTTTGGATATGGTGTCGCCGATGGCTGCGACATGCCTTGATACGATGCATTCTGTGACTGGGCCGTTTGCTTCACCACATATGGCATGCCACCCACGGACTCCGATGTCGGATAGGGCAGCGAGGGGTAAAGCCCTGACTTCGGCTTGCTTTGCGTGTCGTCGCTGACTTCATTCTTGTTGTATCCCAGGGCTGCCAAATTGACAAGGCCAATGCCACTGGCATGATAATTTTTTGGATAATTATCAATGCCGTACATTGTTGAACAGTTTTTAATATATTTAATTAACTTTTTCTTAAATATATTCTCTTTTCTATAATATATAATAATCGATTTACGCAGCTAATGAAATTATAAACAACTATTACAGGGAACGCAGCTCGACGCTGTTCTGTGAAAACTGCTGACTCGACTGAGGAAAATACGTTTTAAATGGGAGAAATATCCAAATTTAACTTTCGTTCGAGCAGATGATTCACATCTTAACCCTTATGTATGCGGATATTAATCTTAATGTAATTTATGTATACTTATGAGTCGTAATAGAAGATACAGTATGCTACATGTATAGATATATATTATAATCTTTTTATTTATTAATTTGACTAACTAAAACACTTACTTTCCATTTAACAATGTAATTGGATACTTATTTTTTTTATCCAATTTTTATGTGTTAAAAAATAGCCCAAAATGCAGCATCAGCGTTAAAGGTGGTAATCAGGGCTGCATGGTGCAATTTAGAGTTGCCACACTGAGGCATTTGGTATATTTTGCTGGTATTTTTAGTTTAAGCCGCAAGTAGTATAATAAGAAGAAGACGGCATAAGAAAAAATAAACAATGCGGTGATATTGATAACAATAAAAGAATATTGAAAAAAATAGTGCACATTAACTGCAAAAAACTATGGACACACAACCTGAGATACCTGAGGCACCGCTACGTCCATTTAAATTATAAGTATTTCATTAACGTTACATAAAACTAGCCATTTAATGTTTTTCTTTTCTCTAATACGGCGCATCAGGTTGTGAGCCTTACTGGAATTAGTTTTGAGCGGCGGAGCATTATTGTAAGAAATATTAATAACATATGAAATATAATGTTAATTATGTACCATTTGCAGGGCATGGTAGAGTTGACCATAGTGCCAAATAATGAGAGCCTACGTTTGATACGTCTAAATGCCAAACAGCTGCGAATTTACAGCGTGGTGCTCAACGATGTTTGCCACGCGGAGTTCGTTTACTTCGATCCTTTCCAAGACATATGCCATAAGGAGCCCAAGAGGTTTGTTGTACATAAGCCATAGCTCTGATCTTTTACATATTGAATTTCATTAACTGCAGCCGCTCTCTGGACGTCTACTCAAAGCATCATTTGGCTGCAGCTCAAATCACCGATCCGGATGTGAATAATGGCGAACTGTTAATACAGGTACCTCCGGAGGGTTATTCGCTGATACAAGAGGGTCGTGGTCTGCGCATACGCATTGAATTCTCTGCCGAAAATCCCAAAAGTGGCATGCATTTTGTTATGCCACCCACATCCTCTGACGATGATACAGCTCAGCTCAACTGTGCTCACATGTACACTAACTGCTATGAGAACTCAACTCGCCTTTGGTTTCCCTGCGTTGACAGCTTTGCGGATCCATGCACATGGCGACTGGAATTTACAGTGGATAAGAATTTGACAGCCGTTTCCTGTGGAGAATTGATCGAAGTTATTATGACGCCGGATCTGAGAAAGAAAACGTTTCATTATACAGTATCTACACCTGTCTGTGCGCCCAATATTGCACTGGCTGTAGGTCCCTTCGAAATCTACGTGGACCCGCATATGCATGAAGTAACGCATTTTTGCCTGCCCGGCATGTTGCCTCTGTTAAAGAATACGGTGCGATACCTTCACGAAGCCTTTGAGTTCTTCGAGGAGACACTCTCCACACGCTATCCGTTTTCCTGCTACAAACAGGTGTTTGTAGACGAACTGGACACCGACATCAGCGCATATGCAACCATGACGATAGCATCGGTTAACCTGCTGCATTCCATAGCTATTATAGACCAAACATACATTTCACGGACCTTCATGTCACGCGCTGTGGCAGAGCAGTTCTTTGGTTGCTTCATTACCTCTCATCACTGGTCGGACACCTGGCTAGCAAAAGGCATAGCAGAGTACTTGTGTGGCCTCTACTCACGGAAATGCTTTGGAAATAACGAGTATCGCGAATGGGTGCAAACGGAGCTGGCGCGCGTGGTCAAATACGAGGAGCAATATGGCGGCATTATACTCGATTGTAGTCAGCCTCCAGCGCCTCTGCCCGTATCGAGCAGCAATCCAGGAGCTGCTGCGAGTAAGCAGCAGGAGATTGTTCATTACTTTCCTATCAAGAGTTTGCACACAGTGTCACCTAAATATGTAGAGGCGATGCGCCGCAAGGCGCATCTGGTCATACGCATGTTGGAGCATCGAATTGGCCAGGAACTGCTCATCCAAGTATTTAACAAGCAACTGGCGTTGGCCACAAATGCAGCAGCAACAAAAATTGGCGCCGGCCTCTGGTCGCAGCTGCTCATCTCCACGAATATCTTCATCAAAGCCATATTCACGGTCACGGGCAAGGACATGTCTGTGTTTATGGATCAATGGGTGCGGACAGGCGGACATGCAAAGTTCTCGCTTACCTCAGTGTTTAATCGGAAGCGAAATACGATCGAATTGGAGATACGACAGGACTTTGTCAATCAGCGCGGTGTACGCAAATATAATGGTCCCTTGTTGGTGCAGCTGCAGGAGCTGGATGGCACATTCAAGCACACGCTGCAGATTGAGAATACGTTGGTCAAGGCAGACATAACCTGTCATTCAAAGAGCAGGCGCAACAAGAAGAAAAAGATTCCATTGTGCACCGGAGAAGAGGTGGACATGGACTTGTCTGCTATGGAGTAAGTTTCATAAGCATTTAATTAAGCTAAACCAGTTAATAACTTTATTTGACAGTGACTCACCTGTGCTGTGGATACGTCTTGATCCGGAAATGATTTTACTGCGTGATCTAATCATTGAGCAACCGGACTTTCAATGGCAATACCAGTTACGGCACGAGCGAGATGTTACAGCTCAGTTTCAGGCCATTCAAGCACTGCAAAAGTATCCTACGAATGCCACGCGATTAGCACTCACCGACACCATCGAGAGTGAATCTTGTTTTTACAAGGTGCGCTGCCAGGCGGCGCACAGCCTAACCAAGGTGGCCAATCAAATGGTCGCTTCATGGAGTGGACCACCTGCCATGCTCAACATCTTTCGCAAGTTCTTTGGCTCCTTCAGTGCACCACACATCATAAAGTTGAACAACTTTTCCAACTTTCAATTGTACTTCCTGCAAAAGGCTATACCTGTGGCCATGGCGGGTTAGTGTACCATGTCCTGATTATTATTATATTTCTAATTGTATTTCCTCGCCATAGGCTTACGTACCTCTCATGGTATCTGCCCGCCAGAGGTGATGCGCTTTCTGTTCGATCTCTTTAAGTACAACGAGAACTCACGTAATCATTATACAGACGCCTACTATAGAGCTGCCTTGGTCGAGGCGCTGGGAGAGACATTGACGCCAGTCGTATCTGTGGCAATGCACGGCACACAAATTACCACAGACAGCCTATCCACTGATGCTAAGTAATTTAAATTGAAACATATTTATGTTGCGTAGACTTATCCCATTTTTTTTCATAGATTGGTTCTAGATGAAGTGACGCGCTTGCTGAACATGGAGAAGCACTTGCCCTCGTACAAGTATATGGTATCCGTGTCTTGTCTAAAAGTCATACGGAAACTGCAAAAGTTCGGCCATTTGCCTTCGCTGCCTCACATTTATCGCAGCTATGCGGAATATGGCATATTTCTGGATTTACGCATTGCTGCTATGGAGTGTCTTGTGGATTTTGTGAAAGTAGATGGACGCAGCGAAGACCTAGAGCATTTGATAACATTACTAGAAACTGATCCGGATCCTGCTGCACGACATGGGCTCGCCCAGTTGCTCATTGACAATCCGCCCTTTACACGCGAGTCGCGCAGCCGCCTAGACAAACCAAATCTGCTGGAACGTCTCTGGCTCAGCATTAATACTTTGGCTTATGACACGAAACTGCGTTGCAATATTGTCGATCTGTACTATGCGCTCTATGGCAGCAAGCGACCGAATTGTCTGCAGGCGACCGAAAATCAGAGCTTCTACAAGGACTTGATGAAGGACAATACAGTTTCAAGTAATTTGTTTAAGAAGACAAACGAACCCAAGCCTATAGAGAGTGAGCCTCAGGAGAGACATAAGCCAGCCATGGTTACTATTAAACGAACTGCAACAGAAGCCTTCGAAGTGGGCGATGAAATCATTAAGTTAGAGCGCAGTGAGGAGATTACCGTTCTGGACGAGCCGATTGAGGTGCAAGCCTACGACAGCGAGACCAAGCTAAATGTGCAAACAGTTGATGAAAGCGCTGGTGAAACGCAACAATTGACTAAGCGCCTACGGACCGAGATCTATGCAGACACGATAGACGATAATTCAATCTCAGTGCTCGATGTCGGCGAGACAACACGACAATATGAGAGCAGTTACGACGAGAGCAAACTGAGACCCGATGGCAGTGTCAAGAAGAAGAAGAAGAAGGACAAGAAAAAGCATAAGCACAAGCACAAACACAAGCACAACAAGGACAAGGACAAAGATCGGGAGCGCGAGCGCAAGGATAAAGATCGCCGAGACCCGCAAATCTCTCGTCTGCAGACAAGGGACGCTGCCACGCCCGAAACCCTTAGCTCTGCTGATAGTAGCAACAGCAACAGCAATACCCCGCTGGGCCTGAACTAAGTGAAGGTCGTCGAGCAACTGCATGTTAACCGATTAAGCTTATACCCTATAACAACAATTAATAAGATGTGAATGTGAAAAGTGAATTAACTACTTAGTTTTAAGAATTGCATAATTGAATTTTTCGACAAGCTATATAAATTTAAATATTGATTATATGAAAGCTATTGAAATCAGCTGGTCGAGTTACAATCTATTTAAGATCTAAAACTTTTTTTCTGTATCGAGTCTAATTTCGTAAACCTTATGCAAATGCTTAACATGTTATATGAGTCGAAAAAAAGTTTCGTAAAGTTCGCAAATAAATAGTTTTTGATAGTTTGTAGAACATTTGCCTGAAGATCTGATTAACTAGCTTACTTTATGATTTATTTATAATTTAACTTTATTAAGGTGCTGAACATGCAGAAACATTTTTACAATACTTAAAACTAGGCAAAGGGCGAGTGAGATTAACTAAAGGATTGCATCTTATGTGGAATTTGCCACCGGCTCGGCAGGTGCCGTTGCCTTCGTCTCGCTGCCAGCGACAGCTGTGTCCTGTTCGTCCCGCGGCCTTCGCTGCAAATATGTGACGCTTCCACCTCCAATGCCCGTCGCCGTCTGCTGTTGCGCCTCGGCGGAAGAGGGCGAGGAGAGGATCTTTACCGATGGCTCAGAGGGCGCTGCGCGCTGATGCGCCAGTTGGTGTTGATGCTGATGTTGATGGGCTGTAAGTTGGCGTGTGGCCAGACGCATGAGATGCGCATAGTCTACAGGTGGATGGTTGCGATACTCGGGATGATCCTTGACGTACTGCTCATAGGGCACGGGCACAGGTACGGGCACTGCTTTGACTGGGTAGCCAGCTTCGACTAGTGCCTGGAACTCGGCCTGGGTGAGGGGTTTGCCATTGGGTGGTGGCAGATTCAGCTGCTTCACCTCATCCAGGGTTCGCAGCTTGTGCACCGTAGCGGCAGTGGGTGTGACACGAGAGGGCGTGGCTATGCCTGTGCCCTGGGAAACATAAATGCTGGACTGTGAGGGAGATGGATGAGCTGGATAATCAATGGGCTGCACAGTGGGCACCACAGCGCGCTGTTGACCATGGGGCACATGCTTGATCGGATCAGGTGGACTAGGATAGAAGTGGGCATTGGTGGGTGCAGTGCTTGGAGGCTGGGCACGTTCCGCATATTCTGCATAGAGCAGCGCCTTCTCATAGGACTTTGTGGGGGAGGGCGTTGGGAGTTTGTACTGCTTCGTGCGATAGTGCTTGGGCTTGGGCGCTGCTGTGGGAGCCGTCTCCTGGTAGTAGTATTGCGAGGGCTGTGGCTGAGTAGGTGCGCCAGTGGGATAAATAACAGGTCCCAACCGCTTGCCTTCCGGCTGCGGGCCAGGATAAACAGGTGTCGGTTGTTGGAAGTTGCTAAACTTGAAAAGCGAAGGCACAAAAGGTTGATTGTTGGCATCCAACAGAGAGTTTGGGGTGCTGGCCAAATAGGCCTTGGGCTGGCGTAGAGCCGGGTGCGAAGTGGGTGGAGGTGGATGCTGTGGAGGTGGCAGCCGGGTCACGTGCTGCTGATGATTCACCAACGTCGGCTCATTGCTGCTGTCCACATAGGCCAGAGCCTGTTGACCCGGACCTGGTTTGTTGGCGGCCAGCAGCTTCTCGATTTCACTCTCCAGCGAGGATTTAGCCAATGGATGATTGGGCAACGTCTTGTAGCTAATCTGTGGCTGATAGTAGGCAATCTGCGGAGGCAGGCCAGAAATCAGCCGCTGCTGCGGTTGCTGCGCATGCTGTGGCTGAGGGCGCTGCTGTGGCGCAGGCGCCTGCGACTCATCCTCCTCCTGTGACTGGGGTAAAGGCAAATACTTGGGTCCACCACGAGAGTAGCTGGGCTGCACCAGCTGTTGTTCGGCCACATAGCGATCCCGATAGCCACCTAGGCCCAGGACGGGCTCTGCCTGCTGAAGGACTTTGTGCGTGGCTGCGGTGCTGTGCACGGGCAGCGGTTTGGGCTGCGGTGGAGGCTGGCGCTGTTGGTGTTGATGTTGTTGCTGCTGCTGTTGTTGCTGTTGTTGTTGCTGTTGCTGCTGACGTAGTTGCTCATGATAAGCTCTTGCCTGCAGCTCCTCTTCGAGAATTTTCAAGAACTGCTCTTCGGGTATGATTTGATATTGCTGCTGTTGCTGTTGTTGTTGAGCATGTTGCTGCTGTTGCTGTTGCTGATGCTGATGCTGTGGTGCAGGCAGTGGCAAGGGCAGCTGATAAGCCGCTGGCGAATAGGGGCCGCCTCTCAAGCCTGGCTGTGGCTGTATGGACACCGCGTAGCGTTGTTCCGCCTCCTGTTCCTGCTCCTGTTCCTCGGCAACGGGCGTTGCCTTCTTGGCGGGCTGTGTCGCTGCCTTACCTTGAGTCGCAGATGCCAGTGCCTTGGGCTGGTGTCGCTGTATATCTTGCAGATAGACGTAGTGCTGCAGCTAGACGTGGGCGAGAGACAAAGAGTTAGGGCGTGTCAAATAAATTATGACGATTAAGCCTGCTTGCGGCTAGGTGGGCGTGCGAAAGATCAACGGCCAATGCCACATCCAAATGGCAACGTTTAAATGTGGAGCTCCCCACCTAGAGGCAGCAAACAGCTGCCACATCTATTAAGATCAACTCAGAGCTGTGATCTGTGAGAATCGTGTGGCATCTAAAACTTATATAACACCAGTGCAACGTTTGACAGCGACAACAACAACAGCAACAGCCACAACGGTTGCGGGGTCTTGACTTGGGCTGCTGTTGCAATCGATGCGCAAGTCGGTGGCGGCGTTGGCATAAAACAAATTATTTACATTACACTGTGCAACAAAACAACAATAACACTTTAGTTCGAGGTGCTTGAAGGCGTGAGAATTGCTTAGAAGGGAATTGGTTCAGAGGGCTCGCTGGAGGAAGACACTACGAAGATAAATGAATATGCGTGCACTTGCAGGGAGCTACCTGGTAAGAAGCCTCTTTGCAGGCAGGTAAGCGAGAACCATCTTAAAGCTCTGCTAAGCTATGGATTGAATATCACATTGAAAACGCCAATATATGCCACGTCAAAGGGCTTACTTCACTTACTACTAGATGATTCATATTCGATTCTTTCGTATGATTTCATGTATAACAGACACAGGCAAGCTGATCACCCAGATAAACGAAGAGAAAGGCGACAGTATAAGTAGTAGGTAAATTGCTGAGAATCGCATAGAAAGACAATGCGTTTATAAGTGGCGGCAATTGTGCCAAAGTAAAACTTAAAGACTTTTATTTAAAATTAAGTTTAAGCAAATTAGTTAAAATTAGCTGAGTGAAAAAGCCAAAAAAAACCCAAAACCTGTTGCGCAGTGTTTGCCTTCGCAACAGTCTTCACATTATTATAATAAATGAAACCCAGCCATGTCAAGGCGCCATCAGCAGAGACAGAAAGACAGCTAGCCAGCAGTCAGGGGGGTGGTGTGATTATAACATTATGTCAACTTTCTTCCCACGACTAAAGCCAAAGACAGCGGACGCCTGCCATTGTCTGCGACTAGTGGTAGAAGGCGAAGAAGAAGCAAAAGAAGAAGTTGATGAAGAAGTTGCTGCTGTTGCAAATTGTGTTGGATGTGGCATGTTTTTGCTGTTGTTGTTGTTGTTGACGCGTTAGAGCAGCAACAATAATAATAATTTTGCAATTATTTAGTTTTTAGTTGTGGCTGCTCGTGACTTACATTTCGTCCGCTACAAATGGCATTTATTATATTCGCTTTTAATTTTTCCATTTGTTTTTATAACAATCATTTTTCTTGCACATTTTGTAATATAAAAAACATTGTCTTTTGGGTAATTGCGATTGCTTTTGATCGCAATTTGTTCCCAAAATGATGAAAATTGAAGCAAAATATTGGTCAAGGTTTGCGCCTAGCTGGCGGCCAGCGAAAGGCTTAATTTGACAATTTCAATTCAAACTAAAGTTGCTGTTGTTGATGTTGTTGTTGTTGTTGTTACAGTACAACATCCTGTATTTTGCAAAGAATTGTGTAATTCGGTTGAGTCACGTTTAACAAACGCTTCTGTGGCCGCAAGCAGACAACTTTTGATGAAAGACAACCAAATATTGACCCACTACGTGGAGTCGAGATACCTTTCTTTACCTAACTGCCTCCCTCACCCTCTTGAACTCACCTCTTGGCTTTGCTCGAGCAGCTGTGCAGCGTGTGGGCGCGAGTTGGCTGCTGCAAAGTTACGCAACTGCGGCTCCTGATGCGACTCGTGCTGCTGATGCTGATGCGGTGCAATGGGGCGTATGATGAACTGATTCGGCTTGCTGCCATAGATCGACTCCTGCCCATCCTCGGGATCGTCAGCGGCTGCTTCAGCAGCTGAACTGCGATGGTTCGGATAAATGGGCGTCTCCTTGCTGCTCACCTGTCGCTTGTCTTTGGTCGCTTCCGTTTCCAACTGCGCGGAGGCGGAGCTGCTGCCTTCGCTCTTGGCTTTGGCATCAAGTGCTTGGCCGACGACGACGAGGCCTGTGTGGGAAGAAGTGAGTTGGTAAAAAATAGTTTGTAAACGTTTTTTTTTTAATTAGAAAGGAAATTAAAGGTCAACGAAACTGCACTCTGTTTACACCTATATAAATATATATACTGGAATATAGATGCAAGCTTGTTTTAATTTTTAATATGCCTTTCGATTCTTGCTCTTTAGTTAATTTAATTAAGTTTGGCATTTTATTTATTTATTATTACTTTACTCTGTTTTGTAAGTGTTTTAACTACACCATAAAAGTCTATTTTTAAATATTGTGATATATTTTTATGACTCTATTAAACTCTTTTATAGTTGTTATCGCAAATGAATCAAAAGCAGTTAGAGTAACGCAGAATAAAGACATAATTAAGTCGTTTAAGTTGTGCATAATAAAAACTGAGTACTTAAGCACAATTTTAGTTGAGCTCTTTACAGATAGTTAAAGTGATATATGTACATACTGGAACATATATATTTAACTATAAACTCTTTAATGATGTTTTTTATTGCTTAACTAACTTTACTACTTCTACTTTACTACATGTTTGATCTGAAAACTCTGATCTTGTTAATGGTAATTAAATTTTTATATAAGAAATGCTGAATATAAAATAATATATTTATAAACATATTTAAATTCAGCGTGTACATCGGTTTAAACACAACAAAATTTCAAGCTTCAAAGTTTGAAATTCTATCAAAATTAAATAAATTATTTTAATTGCTTTAAGAGAATTAATATTATAGAATTAATATTAATAAACAGTTGCGAATTTTTAAAAAAATTTTTTAGTTACGTATAGCCTTAACTGAAATAATAGAAGAATGCTGAATTGAGTACTAATTTGACTTCTCCTTGTGCAAATTATAACAATATGTAAAATTTATTTAATATTTTTCTCGTGGCTACAAACAACAATTTAAATATATTTTGTAATAAAAAATGTGTATGTATATATTTAAATATTTGAATTTTAAATATATCCACAAAATAATTTCAATTAAAAATTTTTTATCTGCCATTTCCATTCAGAAAAATTTTTTTATATTTAAAGTAAAAGACAAAAAATATATGTATAGATTTTAAAAAACCTTTCACATATTTTCAGCCATCAATTGGAAATTTTCCCAGTTTTAAAATGGGAAAAGCCCCACATTGTGGCTTTGCACGATTTCAGTTAATTTCCGTATTTGATACTCACCCAGCAAAAGTGTTAGGGCCAATATTTGAATTCTCATTTTGTGTCGTTGTTGCAACGGACTAGTAATTGAATATCTTTTGCAGCTGCCTGGTGGTGCTGTTGTTGTGGTTGTTGTTGTCGTTGCTGGTCGTTGTTTATTACTTTCACAGTCACTGCGAAGTTTTGTTTCGCTTTCCTTGTCAAAAATGCTCGCAAAAACGGATTACTGCATTAAACACATTGCTGGCTGCAAAAAGACAAAGACAATACAAACAAACAACATTGAAACTCACAGAAGACACATAATGAACACTGAGCGATATACGTTTGCTTATTAAGAGAGCCAAGAGTTATATAATAGACATGGAGATTCGACACACAATGCGTAAAATTGAAAAACAGAAAAACTGGAAAATTGTCGATTTTAATCCTTGGATGCGCACGCGTCTTAAATTACAGCAGCCTTCACGCTATTGACTGCTTAACGTCTGGCTAATGATGTTATTGGCGACGATTTACCGTTTGTTTTTGTAGCCTGCCTTCAGTATTTATTGGCAGCAGCAGCAGCCGAAGCAAAAGTCTTGATCGCGCGCGTTGCACGTTCGACAAACGAATCTTTGCCATTGTGCGGGCAACACTTGTATTTATTAAAAAAAACCGCCAGAGCACAGACAGAGCCGAGACTAAGACCGAAAGCTAGCCACGAACCGTTGCCGACCTTTGCGGCGGCACAAAGAGAAAGGTTCGACAACAGCGGCAGCAGCAGCAGCAGCAGCTTCTCTATAGACTTCTCTATGGGTTTTAAGCAAACGTTTCAGGGGGCTACTTTGGTTAATTCAACGTTGACGGCCGCAACTGCTAGTTAGGCGCTTGTTTAATGGCCACCCGTGCATTTGGCAGCCGCCTGGAAGCGTTTGCGCCCCAACCACCAATACAACAAATGCTAACGTGACACTAAATTGAACCAGAGCCATGGCCTGGGCCTGGGCCTGTGCCTATGCCTGTGCCAATGCCTGTGCCTGGGCCTGGGCCTGGCCGAGGCTAAAGGGCACATTTTGTGTTTAGTTGCTGTTTAGTTGGCTCAAATTGTGCGCATTACATTTAACAAGCTTGAAAATTTGGCTAAGCATTTGCATTTGCATTGCATATTTAATAACGCCCAATCGGCAAGTTCGCTGCCTAAGTCTTTCGTTTGACATTTGCAATTGCCACCGGGCAACTGATCAACATTTCAGCGCATGCGTGGGCCAGCTTCAGCTGCAGCCTCAACTCTCAGCAATTTGGCTCAATTGCAGAGCGATTTAATTTCAAGCTCTCTTACCCAATGCCTAATTGCCTGTCTTCGTGCGGGCGATTGTTGGTTTGTGGTTGTTGTAGCTGCTGCTGATGCTGATGCTGTTGGTGTCAAAGTTAACACGGTAGCTGTGAAATTTAGCGCTGAGGAAATCCGCTTAAATGGCCTGACAAATTATAGACTCGATGCCATTTCCTCATCCTTAACAAATTGATTAAGACAATTGCAATCCAAATAAATAAGTTGATAATTAAGCTGAAGATCTTGGTATTTTTTTGTTGCCTTGCAGCATTTGCGCAACAGCAACATCGATCAATTGCAGGCAACAGCAGCAGCAACAACTACATGGGATTTACTTATTATAAATTCAGCTCATTGTTGTTGTTGTTGTTGTTGGTTTGCTCACATTGTCATTTAGTTGTCTGCGTGTTGCTTGTGAAATTGTTGCATTGCATGCTGGACGCAGACAGCAGCAGCAACAGCAGTCAAAACAACGATGCGATCAGCAACACTAACAACAACAACAACATTGGCAACATCTTCTTTTCTCTTACTACTATTTATTATTATTGTATTAAAGTTTTTTCTATTTTTCTTCTCTTCTTTTTTTGCAGCACAGCTTTTAATTTCAAACACTTTTTGCGACAGCCAAGCAGAAGTGCAACAGTTAGCTTCAATCAATGCTCATTATGAAGTTGATAATGATGTTGCTGCTTCTGCTGCCGCAATTGCTGTTGATGCACTCAACTGCTGTTGCACTTCGCAGTTTGGCATTTGCATTCAGTTTTTATTGCTAGAATGTTGTAGTTGTTGTTGTTGCTGCTGCTGTTGCTGATGCTGATGCTTTTTGCGGCCGACAGTTTTATGCTCTAAATTTTATGTGTATAAATTGTTTATAGCGCGACAGGCTGTTGGACAGTAGTCAACCTTAGCATTTAGCTTATGCATTTGATATACATACTCTGCAAAACATCTACCGAGATCTTAATTGGCAGAATCTACGCGAAACTATTTCCAGTTGTTGCAGTTGTTGTTGCTGCTGCTCTTGTTAATGAAATGTGCATTGGACAATGCTATTGCATAATCCTCGTCGTCGTCGTGCATATGTCAAATCTGTGTATCGTAACTTTTTGTTATTGTTAGCGGCTAGAGTCTAGCTCTGACCCGTTAATCATATAGATGGCCATAATAATTATAGCTAATTTATGTATAATTAAACTGCGGCAAATCGTTATTAAAATGCCATCCAAGACACAGCTTATGGTAACGTCTATTAGGCTAACATTACAGTTGGTAATTGATATATGCGTAAAAGGCTTAAGTGAAGCTTCAGTTTATGTGTAAATATGTCAAAGTAGAGGATGAATATATTCAGTTAAATCAATAGATTTTTTGCTACTTACAGAAACTATTTTCATATTGAATGTAGCTCGATTAGGTATGGATGCTGCTGGATTGCTGAATCGTGCTCTTATGCGTAACTCAGACTAAAGTCCTAAAAATTGTCAACTCCAAAATATTTTTTTGTCAAAACATTTTGTAATTAAATTTGACATAAAAAAATTTTAATTTTTCACTTTTAATGTACAATTATTCTAGCGATTAAACTATGCCCTGAAAGATATTACTCAAGAAAATCTGATATGTTTTTTTGAAATTTCATTGCATACTTTTGAGGGTGGTGTAAATAGAATTATTCTCAGCTGCAGCTAGATGGTAAAAAAAATATTTGCTAAAAATATTATTTTATTAAAATTCATGAGTTTTATGGCTTAAGCTTTACTGCTTACTCTGTATTGCTAATATATTGAAAAAGGCCCAAAAACCTTTAACGGATCCCATAAATCATAAATGTCATAAAAACTCTTTTGCATTAATTAAAATGTCTGAAGCCATAAAAAAGAGCATTCTAATTTATGTTTAAGCAATTGCCACACAAGATTTAAATACAATTAATATAGCTTGAAGTCTAATCGTTTTATTGAAAAACCAGTCGGGCGTAAAACTGCTATAAACATAAACCAATTCGTGATTCATGAGCTGCAAGCCCAATCGGGCGAACCCCCCACAAAGAGACGAATCTCAAATTTGTATTTGCTCAGCGGCGGCTGTATCTCAATTTGTATCTAAGTATATCTGTAGTTAAATCCGGGTTCCAGTGAAGCGTGGACCACACACACACACACATATACATACACACAGATACGGCACACTCTCGCTCGCTATGCTTATAATTTGCTAATGAGCGTGGCGTCCAGTCAACTGTAGACAATTGCGATTGGCATTACATGTTGTGTGGGTCGCTGGGGCCATACGAGATCATTTTTGGTCTGATGGTCGGTTTTTGGGCTCGCATTGTTATATGATTTGTGTTTTCCTGGTTTTTCATTTTAGCCAAGTGTTTCCATTAAACACAGTCCGGTCTGTGTGATAAATTAATGTGCTTAAGCTTTAAGTACTGCACGCTTGGCAACTCGATTTTCACTCTGCACTCATAATGTGGAAGCCCATTAAAATCAAACAGACAGCATTTAATGCACCCAATCCACATCATTCGATAATGAGCTAATGTGGGCAGACAGTTGATAGACGTGCTAGCACGGCGTGCATTTCAAGCTCCAGCTTGATCTCCGCATGTTGCCAGCGACCTTGCATAAATTTATGATTTTCGTCTCTGCAATCAAATCATAAAATGTCAGAGGGCATAGAAAGAAAATAAAGGCACAGGTGAAGCTATTAACATACTACGTGTTTGCCTGAAAATAAAAAAGAGTTAAGCATTGCTTCATTTAAGTCTGATTGCACAATAAATCTGTGACTCGGACTTCAATAGAAAGAAATCAGAAAAGCGTTGCAATAACTTGGCTGAAAGCAAATGCAGCCCAAATAGCCAAAGTTTAGCACAAAAACAAAAACCTTAAGCAATACATATACATTTATATATGAATACATTTATATATATATATATATATACATATATATCGAATAATATAATCATAGAAAATAAACAACAGAAAAGAAAGAAAAAGATTTTCACACTACAAAGATCGCATCACAGTTGCTGACAACAGCAACTAGCGAAGCATGTAAACTCGTCTTTGGCTTAGTGCTAGCAATAGGTAAGCCCCATAAGCCTCACCTGGCGGGTGCCTTTGGCGGCAACGACGACGACGACGTCGACGACTTCATTTACATTTTAGGCGTGAGAAGAATGAATGAAGCATGCAAAAATATGACAAACAAAATAGCAAAGATATATATGTACGTATGTACATATTTCTGTATGGCAAGATGTGCTGGCTGCATCTTTCCCAGATGCAGCTGCACCTGGTTGGCTTTAATTAGATCTTGTAGTAGTACTATTTATTCGCACCGGCAACGCCCTTGTGGTATCTATGCAAAGATCTGCACACATCCATATCCCATGTGCTCTTTTAAATTGCGTGCCAAAAAAATAATTGCTACCTGCCTGTCTGATGTAATATATTTATGCAAGTCCAAATCAAACTGATGCGGAAAAAGCAAAAAGCTGTGCACCACTGTATTTGGTACAAATGAATGTACCAATGAGTACCACTGAGGATTTCTCAAAGCTTGGTCCACCTGGCCCTGGTTGTGGTTGTGTTTGTGTTTGTGTTCGCACAGCAATTAAGTTCTTAGGCATTAACATGCCTTAAATGCTGCTTGATCAATCACAAGGCTGGCAAAGAGTCGTGTGAAATATTCACACATTAGACTCAGGCATTAGGCATTGCAATAAGAATGGGCATGCAAAAATTAATTACATATGTACTTCAAATGCACACAGTCGCGGGCCTTAAACTATTGCGCATAAGCAAGGATCGACTTTGATTACGTTACAAATTGTTACCGATATTTGTGCTGTCATTTAACAGCATTGCTAGGCCAGTGGCTAATTTTAATTCATTTGAATAAAGAAATATATAAACAATGAGAAAAAGCTAAGACCTTGCGTTACAAAACCGTTGAGATTGGACAATCAAATCATTACCAACATTTTGGACAACAGATATCATTTTGAATACACACGTAAATGTATGCAAATACCAGCTTTTGAGTGCCAAGGTTTTTACAAGAGAAGAAAAAACTAGAAATCAACAAGAAACAAAAATAAAAACAAAATAAGACATACATATACTTAACGATGTGAAAATGTGCAAAACAAAGCATTTGTTTAAATACCAGCAATTAAGCACGCACCCGCACAAAGGAAAAATAATAATGCCTTAAGACATGCAAACACTGCAGAATAATGACATTTCAATGAAGTCGCCAAATGGTTTAATTTAACAACAATTTATTTACACACATGAGACTTGCCAATGCCCAGCGGTAAATGCGTAACTTCACAGCATATTTACACTATACGTGCGTTTGCTGGCATTAACAAAAACTTTTTTGCAGCCTGGCAAACTTGATTCAGCTAACATGAGACGCTACCTTGGCATTTAAAATGTGCCAAAGTGCAAAAAAAAACCCAAAAAAAAAAAAGAAAAACGAGCTGCACACAACAGGAAGATCGTTAAAAACAAAAAAGCCGTCGCAATTTCTTAATAGAAGCACCAAAACGTAAGAAAACAAAAAATAAACAAGTTGAAGCCACAGATTAAATGTTAATAGTACTAAAGCCGAAGCTGAAGCCGGCAACAAACGAATCGAAAAACCGGATTTGTGGCACAGAACAATGCGCGCATAAATCTCGCGACAGCTTGAAATGCAATTCACCAAACCGCCGAATGAGAGATTGTCAGGGATTAACGACACAGCTTCAACAGTCAACCAAGTGGACAGCATCAAGCATCAAAAAATGCAGGCGCTGCTATAATAAAATCAAAAAACTTGACATTGTCTGATTTAATAAAAAGGAAGCTGCATAAACCGCAACCGCAGTTGCAACCGTTGCTGCAGAGTGAGAAAGGCGCCCCCCTCTAATATTAACGCATATTAAGTGGCACATTGTGTAATGTGGCACATGCAAAAGACATGTTGCCACATCTGGCAGCCACAGTCCACAATCCTACGTGACATGCAGTGAAAGTTAATTTTAGCGAAAATTATGAAATGAAATGAAATGTATTTTCCTTTCAGTTGGCATTGCCACCGTCTTGCCATTGTCTGCTCGGTGCGGAAATAAACAGCAGCAACTTGAAGTCTTTGCTCTTCTCGTCTACAAGGTTAATAAATACATCTGATAAATAGGCGGCACCGAAATTGAAAAATCCACTTAATCAAATTAAACAACTACCATTTCTCTAACACACTCTCTATAACAGCTGCCCTGCAAATTGTCAGGTGGAGCACATTTCGCTGGCTCATTGTTTGGTCGCTTTACACTTTAGAAAGGTTGCTACCGTTGCTGCCACATGATGCGAAAGGTATATAAAAAGTGTGCTCCACATGCTGCCCAGGTGGTTTGGTTTGTTTAGTTACATTTTCAAAAACTAAAAGGTTATTAAACATGCCTCGTGCACAGTTTGTTGCACATTGTTGTTTGCAGTTGCATGTAAAAGTCGAATTTCAAATGTGGTTTTCTTTATTATGCAGCAACTAAATCACTGCAGCTATCCATGTGGGTCTGTTAGTGTGTATGAATGGTAGACAGGTCGTGCTCATTTTGAGTCAGTTGCAGATTTGGTAGCCGCCTTGATGTCTGCTGCTGAGGTGCGTTTCAGGCTGACCAACACCTGACGTTTCATTGAGGCCGGGCCGGGTCGGTTGGCCTTGATCACTTTGGCCATTGCTTTGTTAGCCGTTGTTGACTCCGCTTTGACAGCAGTTGCGGATTTTGTCGGTGTGTTTGTTGGAGCAGCTGGCTTTTTATCTGGTGTGTTGGCAGCTGGCTTAATATCTTTTGCAGACTCGTCTGCGTTGCCATTGGATTCATCTTTGACATCCTTTAGCTTATTCTTTTCACTGGAATTGATTAATACTGTAATTTGTGTTGAATATTAATGAGAATTTATTTCAAGTCACCTTTCGATGTCAATATTCAGCACAGATTCGTCTTCCTCATCCTCTTCTTCGTGGGTCAGTGGTTTGACTTCCGCTAACAAATCACCCAAATCCTTGTCAACTTCCTCCCACAGTTTCTCATCATGCGATCCATCACCATCTTCGCCCTCGTAATCCTCTTCCTCTTCATCTTCATCCTTGGCTTCCATTTCAATATCTTCTTCTGCCTCTGCTTCGTCAGTATCTTTAGGTAGCTTATTACCCTCCTCATCGACGTCTGGATCATCATCTTCGCCTTCATCCGATTTGGACTTTTTTTCCGTCTCTTCCTTATGGCGCAGATAGTTCTTAACATGCAAATGCTGCAAGCAATGCTTCTTTGTGTACGCCTCCAAAGTATCATCGCCTTGCTTGGATGAATAATGATTGCAAATTTCACAATAAAAGGCCTCGACAGCCTTGATGAATTCCAGTCCAATGAGACCGCGTTTACGAGTCTCTTCGTCTGCACTCTTCTGCGCTGTTTCAGCCTGAAGCAGCATAGCATCAACATCAGCATCCATAATGTCGTCATCAATCTCGCCTACCGAATCAACGGTAAGGAATTTATTCAAATCAATTTCACGCTCGTCAACGCTGTCCTCCGAGCCGGACTCGTCATTGCGCGCTTTATTCTGTTATAATTTGTAATTAGTAAATACAAAAACGACATTCATTCTGTTAACACTTACTCTTATGTGCTCCAACGAGCAGCGGTGGTTTTCATAAAGCATGGCATTCTTAAATGCCAGGTGACAGGAGCCACAGTAGGGCATCAGGAACTTCTTGATCGTCTTGTGATGCTCGGAGGCTTGATGCAGATTTTTCGGCTGGCGATAGGCCAATCGGCAAAGGCGACAATAACGCGACTCGTACTCTTCCTTGCTGTTTTCCTCAATCTCACGCTGTGTTGTGCGTTGACGGGCACGCATGCGCTGCAAGTCTGCACGCTGACGCAATGCAACTGTACGCATCGAATTCTTGTGTGTACGTGAGTTCAGGTGATAGTGATATTCCTGTGGTAATTACCGAAATATGTATTTATAGAAAGTATACTAATCAGTCTTTACCCACCTTGAAAGTAACGCACTTAATACGACAATGCACGCAGGTGAGTTTAATAAACGTGCGCGGGCGCAAATTGTGTTCATCGTCACGATGACGAGAGGTTGTCCGACGTTCCTTGCGATCATCTTCGCTCTCGTCTTTGTCCTTGCGCGCCGAGCGATCCTTCTTGCTGGACGACTTCTTTGATTTGGAGTCCTTGTCGTCGCCATCTTTATCTTTTTTCTTACCTATTGACTTTTCAGCTGTATCCGAGGATTTGCCCTTCTCTTTGGGCTTATCGGCATTGTCACCGGACTCATCGGTCTTGCCCTTGCCCGCCTCCTCATAAGCATCATCATCATCATCGGTGCCAACTTTGGCTTTTTTTTTCTCCGCGCCATTGTTATCATCTAGCTCCTGATCATCGTCATCGTCTTTACCCTTGTCATCATGCGACTTGCCCTCGGCATCTTCGGTTGCCGTTTTGTTGCTACGTTTTTTGATTGTCGACTTTTTAGTCGTTTCGTTCTTCTTATCCTCCCCATCAGCGCCATCTTTATCGTCGTTGTCCTCGTCTTCTTCGCCATCATCTTCATTGCTCTTCATCTTCTTTTTATCAGAATGGTCCCCCTTGTCAGCTTTATCAGAGTCATCATTGTCGTCGCTAGAGTTATCGCTGCTGTTCCCTGCCTGGCGTTGGCGCCGCAACGAGCTATACATGGGAATTCGAATTGAATTTTTGTTTTTTTTTTGTTTTGTGGTGAAGGGGAAGGCATAAATGCAAATTGATGTGGTAAGTACTCGTATACAATTAAGATGTAAGCTAACAAAATACTTTGTTATATAGTGTCGGGTGTCGTTGGTTATCTTAACTTGATTCTCTACATATTTATACACATTACAAGATCTCAAATCTCCTTCTATCTCTTTCTAGTATTTCGATAGAGGAATGGTTTTTTAAACAAACCTTATAATTTGTAAATTTAGCCAATAATAGTTCTTAACACACACTCAAATGTGGCATATTATTTATATTTATATAGAGTGTTCATATCACCCACATTCTGAACATATTGCCAAATGTATTTGATGCTCTTTTCGCACTTCATTGGCACATGGCATACTTTAAACTATCATCAGCTTTGAGTTCTTTATAGGATTTAGACAGCTGCCTCTCACACAGAAATATGATTTTTAGGTTTTTTTACTTTTTGTTTTGTTTGCTTAACTTTTTGTCTAATTACCTTTTCAATTGTTGTATCTTGAGCAGACGAGCGCGATCTTTCTGCTGTGCATAGAGCAGCTGACGGCGCATAGTACGCAGATCATTAGATTCGTTGAGGCGCGGACGCACAATCCTCATGGTGCCAACGCCGCGCATGTTGTTGCGCATCATGCCGCCGCGTATGGACATTGAGCCCCGCGGCCGTGATATATAACTTGTGCCGGCGACACTGCGTAATAGCGGCCGCTTTGGCGGACCCATCGATGAATCGCGCTGATGTCGCTGGCTGCCAGAATCATCTCGTGGCCGATATGAGCTTGAGCTACCGCCACCACCACCGCCAGTGCTGTTCCGTTGATGGTAACTGGACGAAGATGAGCCCATGTTCTGCGATGAAGACGATGGACGATCATTGTGATCATTTGACGACGACGTGCGACGGTAATCCTATGACGATTGATGAGTAGGAAGGAGTGTACAGGAGCATTGTTTTTTGTTTTTGTTTTGATTTGATATTCGAATACATAGAGATATACATATAAATTTCTTGTTTTTGGATGATAAAGAATTACTATATATACATTTGTATATAGTTATATACTTATATGTTTATATAAATTGGGTTATCTCAAATGCAATAATCATTATCCTGGTGGCAAGTGTGTGTAGTAGTAGTAGTAGTAGTAGCATGTTGAACAAACCTTATATTTTGAGCTATTTTAGATGGATTGATTATACAAATATACATATCAAATGTATATATATTTATAGGTATATAGATATATATCTGTTGCTTGGAACGGAGAAATTGTCTGCTTTTACAGGTATTAAAATTTATATATATATATATATATATGAGATATACACACAATACACGGTCTCATTCACTGTTTAGCTCAAGTTTAATCTCAGCCGTGCCTGCACTATATATGCATTTATACATATATCTTGATCGCTGTGGCAAAATCTTTGCTGTAATGCGTAGCTGCTGCTGCTATTTATAATATATAATATATATGCAATACAAATTGAGTTCTTGCGTTCTCAAAGTCTTTTATTCTGACTACTTTGAGTGCACTACCATTTATGTGTGTGCATTTCCATCCGGCGTTAAACCTTCACAAATAGTGCTATAAATATTTGGAAACTCATTAAAATTACACAGACAATAGCAGCTGTACATATATACATATATATCTTTAAGAAACCTAAAATCTTTGGGGTTTACTTTTCTTATAATGGCATATTAATATTTGGTTAGCTCTAATATAAACTTACGTCTTGACGTGGACGTTTGCGGTCATCGCCACGATCACGAGATGAATCCTGTTTACCCAGATGAAGAATTGTGTTAGGATTGTGATTTCAATTTGCATTAATCACGACTTACATAGCTGCGCTTGTGAGAAGAGCCTGAATCATAGCGTCCGCCGGTGCTCGAGTTATGATGGTTGTTAAACTTATCGCGGTTGCGGTTATCGTAGTGGTCGTTGTTGGAGTTGTTATTATTCCCACCACTGTAGCGATTGTTATGATGATAGTTGTTCTCATATCGTCCATTGTTTGGCCGATAGTTCCCTTGGGTACGTGTGTTCACGTAATTGCTGGAATTGCGGTTGTTGTAATAGCCGCCACCGCCGCGCATGGTGCCGCCTCCACGTGGAATGTAGTTGCCGCGACCACGCATTTTCCTACAAAAACAAATACAAGAACACAAATTTAGCAACCAAAATTAGCTCTTTTGTCTACTGAAGCACCCTGTTTCCACCTCGCATTAGGGGCCGGCGTTGACAGCGGTAGAAAATCAATATTGCTACCTACACATCTCACGAAAAAAACACTTTGAAATAACGCCGCTCTTACCTTTTGGTTTAATGTATTAAAATGAACAAACTTAATGTTCTTGGTTATGAATGTTTTTGCAATAAGATTGCAATTATTTTAACAATTATATTTGACAACTGGTATAACAAGCCGTATGCGCAAGAAAATTTTCCGACAATGGCTAATATGCTAGTGATGTGAACTAAATTAATCGATGAGTATGACAGTAAAATTCAAGCAGGTTGGCAGCATCAAAAATCAATGTGACCAAATATTAAATAGACCGAAAATACCTGATTTGTTTGCGTTTCCATACATTTATAAATAGCGTCATATACGTTAAAACCATTTTCCTTTCGAGTTGAATATCTCAATGATATATTTGCTATTGTACTAAATGGGATTTCAGAACATGCATATGTTCTTTACTGAATATATGTTGAATACATTTTCCTTTTTTCGAAATGTTAAGCATCTCAATGATACATTTGCTATTGTTTTAAATGGGATTTCAGTACATACATATGTTCTTTACTGAATTGAAAGCAGCGTAAGTGTAAGAAAAGTTAATGCTAAATTAAGTTTTACATATGTTACACAGAGACAACGACCATTATGTCAGCATAAAAACTTAATACTCTTTGGAATGCGCCGCAGCAAATGATGGCAAGGTGCCTGGTTCGCATTCAAGATCTCACACAACACCCGTTGGGCGCACATTAGTCGGTGGAGCTGCTGCATTTGGTTTGGTCATTATATCAAAAGCATTTTTGAAGAGCTGTGTCTTCATAAAGTCTGTGGCTGCGCTGTTTAAATCCTTATTAGCGCCATAGTTGCACTTCACATAACCGTAGAGATTTGCGGCATTCAGTGCTATGGCAATCATGACCAGCAGAAGCCACTTGAACTTCAGTCCAAAGAGAGCCATCAAAAAAAAGAGACCCCAAAAGAACGGACACAGTATTAATCCCAGCCAGAAAATGCGCTGCTCATGCTTGTTGACCCGGCTCTGATAGGAAGGAGACTGTGTTACACTTATCATATCGATTGCAATCAAATACTTTTAATGCACTCACGTTTTTCGACTCGAACACCCAATGCGATTTGCCATCGTCATCAACGTAGTTCCACCAACGTAGCCCTACTAGAAGTCTTCCAGAGATATTCTTCACAGTCCAGAAGTCGGCAGATAGAAAGAGCACAACGAATACAAAGCTGGTGATAAAGGAGTCACTAAACCAGCCGCAGAACATGTAAATGACGATTGATGCGCCGCGGAAGAACAGATGGAAGAAGGTGACATACGGATGCCTAGCAAAATACATATGTGAGTGCAACACATACATACATTTCCTTTGCTGTTTTATTGCTTACGTGTATTTCTTGGCCGCTGTGCTGGGATCGCGCATTTCATCTTCCTCACCAAAAGGTATCGTATCATCGTCTAGTAGTGGCACCTGTGTATAAAAATATTTAGTTAGTTTTTGTTTGCGGTTTAGTCATAGATAAAATTTGTTGCTGTTGTTTCAACGCTGGCTGGTATTAGTTGCATTTGACGTGCGAACTGCTGCTCATTAGTTGTTAGTGTGGCATACATACATTTCTTACCGTTGCAGATGCCATTTTTGATTATGGCTAGACTAACTTTTTACTAATTTAAATGACAAATTGATTGATAATAATTTAATGCATATTTTCTTTGCTTGCTGCCTGCGTATGATGTATATCGCACATTGACTGTCTATCGATAAGCTATCGAATGCACACACTGCTGGTGTGGCAACGCCAACGTCATAATTGTTTACTTTCTGCTGATAATAGCGGAGAGCGGTCTTCTGAGCGCGAGCTTCCTCTTTTTTATTAGACTACACTGGATTTAATTGTTGCATAAATATGCATGATTGCGGGGAACGTAAAAAAGAGAAAATATAAAACCGATGGCAGCTAGCATTTGCCGTTAACATAACTCTCGTTACACTGGCGCTCACATTGATAAAAAACGCAAGCTGATAAGCCAAACATACGGGAGCGGAAATACAAGTTAAAAGCGCACATCACAACAGAAATCAGTTGCGAGCAAACCGCCCAGCAAAACAGACGTACGGAAATTGCTAAGTGCTTTAAGTAGAAGGAGGCCTGCAAATGAATGAATGAACGTGCGAACACGACGCGACAAGTGCACGAAACGAGTTACGATAACACAACACAAAAGTGAAGAAGCGCTCAGACAAGCTAGCGAGAGAGAGAGAGGTCAGCGATCTTTAAACAGCTCCAAGCTCCATCATCAGCATTAGTAGCTACAATACCAGCATCAGCCCATGTCTGGTGCGTGTGCTTAAACAAAACAATAATACATTCGGTTTCAAGGGTAACGCAGATGCGCTAGCGACGTGTGTATATTAGCCAGCTAGCCAAGTGATTCAGTCAGCTAGTCAGCCAAGTAATTAACGAGTACTGAGGTGAGTGCCAAACAAACTCACAGACACACACACACTTGTTGGCAAGCACCGTTAACCAGAACTCTTTACCAATACATTTTGTTGTATGTGTTTGTGCGCGTAGCGAATTTTGGTGACGTCAATAAGAATTTCGCTTAAGCTCAACCCAATTTTCACTTTCCAGAGATCCAGAGCAAGAGTAGTAAATAGAAGATTGCAGAGTACGGTTCGATAAATATGGCACCACCCACTGTCTTAGTCACTGGCGGTGCGGGCTACATTGGCTCGCACACTGTGCTGGAAATGTTGAATGCTGGCTATAATGTTATCTGTGTGGACAATCTGTGTAATGCGTATAGCGGCGGAGCGTCCAAGCTGCCAGAGGCATTGAGTCGTGTACAGGAGATTACCGGCAAGAAGGTGCACTTCTATCGTGTGGATATCACAGATCGTGAGCAAGTGCGCTCGGTGTTCCAAGAGGTGAGATTTACCAGTATCAACAGGCACGTCAGCAAATTGATAGAATGCGCTTGATTACTGGATATATGTATGTGGCATATTTCTATAGGCAAGCGTTCCATGTTTCTTATCATAATTGCTGACGCTATCAACGTTCAACTGCTGTTTACGCAGCTGCCGCATACTTCCTACGCGCCCTCGTCAACGATCGCATTATCGTGACCTCGGTCACATAACTCGCTGTGCTGGCAAGCGCCAACGTCAACATTGACGTTGCACTTGATGCATCGATGATCTAAATATTATTGTTATTGTTTGCTAATTCTTAGCTACTTGTAATGTTTTTAGCACAAAATCGACATGGTTGCTCACTTTGCGGCACTGAAGGCCGTTGGCGAATCCTGTCGCATTCCTCTGCAATACTACCACAACAATATGACGGGTACCAATGTCCTGTTGGAGGCCATGGCTGACAACAATGTGTTCAAATTCGTTTACAGCTCGAGCGCAACCGTGTACGGCGAACCTAAGTTCTTGCCTGTTACTGAGGAACACCCAACGGGCAACTGCACGTCTCCCTATGGTAAAACCAAGTATTTCACAGAGGAAATACTTAAGGATCTGTGCAAGTCAGACAAGGTAAGACTAATCATTAAGTTGCTTACTCTTATATAGGTTAATAATTCTCACTTTCAATTGACAGCGTTGGGCAATCGTTTCGTTGCGCTACTTTAATCCCGTCGGCGCACACATTAGCGGTCGAATTGGCGAAGATCCGAATGGTGAGCCCAATAATCTGATGCCCTACATTGCCCAGGTGGCTGTTGGTCGTCGTCCAAAGCTTAGCATCTATGGTAGCGATTTTCCCACCAAAGACGGCACTGGTGTGCGTGACTACATACATATCGTTGATCTGGCTGAAGGTCATGTGAAGGCCTTGGACAAGCTGCGCAACATTGCTGAAACGGGATTCTTTGCGTACAATCTCGGTAGTGGCGTTGGTTGCTCTGTGCTGGAATTGGTGCATGCTTTTGAACGCGCCTCTGGCAAGAAGGTAACCTATGAGCTGGTTGACCGACGTGCAGGAGACGTGGCCACTTGCTATGCGGATGCCAAATTGGCCAATCAAGCTCTGGGCTGGAAGGCGACGCGTGGCATTGATAAAATGTGCGAGGACACTTGGCGTTGGCAGAGTCAAAATCCCAACGGCTATGCCAATAAGTAGTTAGGTCAGCGTGCCTCTTGCCCCCGCTGCGTGGCAAGGTCGCTCTGTCAACGTGCCACGTACTATCTGCTATTCTGTTATGTTATCTAAAAGTTCCTCGACCACTTCTTCAATTTCAAATATTTGTAATTATTCTAACTAGCAAAATGCTTGCGTACGATTAGTTGTTTATGATTTGTTTTGTCAAATTTTAAGTGCAAAATGTTACCAAATTAAATGCACGAGTATGTGTCTGTGTGCACGTAAACTCAAAGTAGTTTGTAATTAAAAACAACAAGCGACACCTAATGACATTTTACAATGATTCGTTATCTCCATTTATAGCACAATTTTCAAGGTCAAACTTAAATACAGGGTATTTGTTTTTTAGAGGCGAACATTTATTCAATGCAATTAAACATTTAAAAACTGATTTTAAAAATACTTAATAAATGTGTATTTATACATATTTAAAAAAAACACATCTGCACAATTAACGGCATTTATCACAATTATGAAATATTTAGTTTTCAACAACTATGCGTTTTTCTTTTTGGAATGCTGCTGATTGTATTAGAGCTGTTGTTTGTTGCTTACATACGTATGTCTATATATGTATGTATGTATCTGGATTGGTGTATAAAAGTACAAAATTGTTTATATATATCTACGCGTGTGATTCCCTATTCAATACGGGCTAAGAATTTAGATGACAATTTTACTTTATACACTTTAATATGGGGTTAGAAATCTGCCCCTGCTGAATTTGGGTTATGGCTTATATGGGTTTTCTATAGATTGTTTGTAGCATGTGGCTTATTTGTTTTGGCAATTTCTTTACACGGTTTCTTGGCAATCGTATAACAACCTAGAAGGGTGATTTTTTTATCTATCAACTTAAACCAAGTCAAAGAAAATCAATTTAACAAAAAGCTTTTCTACGTGCTACATTCACATTTGCATCTAAATGTTTTGTCTTGTATATATGGCTATATATATATGTGCGCGCGATATGCATAAAGTTAAGGTTAAATAAGTATACATGCTTAAATATATATAAGTATTCGAGTAGTTTCCAAGAGAGCGCTAGTTAGAGATCCGTATCAATGAGAGGCAGTGAAGTACTAGATAGTAGATTTTTGAAGTTTGGAGACCAGCCGATCAAATTATGTAGATGTGACGCCCTTGCGTGCCACCAGCATATTAAGTATGGGATTTTTTCTTATATAGCTAACTGCCTTTTTGTGGGTGACCATAGTAAAGTCGTAGCCATTACATTGCAGTATCTTGTCATGTATACGTAGACCTGCCCTCGCAGCTGGGCTACCTTCGTGGACCTCCGTCACGTATATGCCCTACATATACATATATTAGATTTAGGTTCAAAATATATTCAATAGATAATGTATACATAGTCAGTGTAGCCTTGTGGACTCTTCTTGTAGTCCTGGTCTATACCGCCTCCTATCTTAAAGCCACACTTCAGTATCTCCCTGCCTTCCTGGTCGTAATCCTTTTCCTTATGTAGCGTTATGGGTATCTAATAAGAATCATAAATTATAATTAACGAACAATGTGAAAGTTTGTTTATGATTAATATCTATGAAATGCGACCTAATTTCACATACACGATTCACATACACATACACGCACATCTATATACAGGAAGAACGCTGTTTCTAGCTACCTGTGTGAGTATGTGTATATCTTACTACTGAAACTTACGCTTAAACATTCCATAGCCGTTCCGGCCTGATGTTGAAATGCCATTTTCGCCATGTTGGTGTAGTTTTAATATTGATTACTTGACTCAAAGATAACGAAAACGTATTTTTTATTATTCTTTAATGTACGCAAGAAAAGTCGCTGTCGTCGCGTACAAACACAAACTGCCTATTCTCTACTGCATCACAAATGGGCAGTGTTGGAAAAGGCCGAAATCAAATATAAGTTGTTTTTTGTATTCTTTTTTTTTTAATAGATTTACATACATAAATAAACAAATGTTTGGAATTCATTAAAATAAATTTATATTTAGGAGCGCCGCATAGCCAACATCGTATTAATTTCCCATATTATTATGCGCGTCCTATCAATAATCTCTCGTAATTGACGATTTTTCAGTTTTACGGTTTCGATTAGTTCCTGGTTCTCCTGCAGCACTTTGCGATACTCATCACATTGCGATGGCTCTATACGTGGATCTGGCTCATCCCTGTAGGGTATTAAGGTTTCCGCGTTCATATAGTCCATGCCGGCATCATTGCACTTTTCATAGATGATGCGAACACGTTTGAAAAGCAATCGAATAGTGCGAAAATACTCTTGGACCTTTTTCTCAGTGTTGTTATCTCTGTGAGAGGTAGGTTGTATGTTCTTCAGAGCTGAGAAAACCTCTTGGAAGCGTGAAGCAATGTCTTGAACTGTCTCCTGGCCTAGTCGCGATAATTGGACTATGTTGATTTCTTTGTGTGGATTCGGTTGTGAAATTGCCAACATGTTGTTTCCGCCACCTCCGCCGGCTGCACCTGTTCCTGGATTGTGCTGCTGCTGTTGGTTTTGTGGTATATTGGGTTGTTGTTGTTGTGGGCCAATACCAGCACCACCACCCATGACCACTCCTTGCTGTGGACCCATCATCTGCTGCTGCATTACATTCGCTTGTTGCGGCGGCATATTGGACATTGGAACGCCAACGCCGCCCTGCATCATTTGATGCTGTTGCTGCATTTGGTGTTGCGGAGACATACCCATGCCTTGCATTAGACCGGCTGGTCCACTGCCAGCCCCAGCATTCGGATTCATTTGCATGCCACCTGGCCCGCCAGGTCCACCGCCTCCCATCATTTGATTCATTTGGTGCTGCTGTTGTTGTTGCGGGGACATGTGCATACCAGCACCTCCTTGCATAAATCCGCCCATAGGCATCATATTCGGTCCACCTCCACCAGATCCACCTTGATTCATCTGATTTTGTCCATACTTCCACATTTTGGCAGCAACTAAAAACCCGTACACAAATAAAAACAATAAATTTAGCGATTTTTCAACACTATTCGAGAAAGAGTTGCCACATTTTAAAATATCGATTAAATGCAATTCGAGTGGGCTATCGACTTTTGGTGTCAGTCGCAGATACTTATCGGCCGAGTTGAAGGTGATTTTGAAGAAATTTAAACATTAAGGTATTCAATTTTAGTAATGGACTGCGATGGCACGCGATGAAGACAATGGGTTTGCCGATTGGGTGAGTTAGCAAAAAGAAATAAATAAGAAACACAGATTTATTTTGCAATTACAGGGCGGTTACTTTGAAGCGAAAAAGGCAAAGCTCGAGGAGCAATTCGCGGCAGCTAGCGATCCATTTCGCAAGTCTAATCTTTTTGATGGAATTTCAATTTTCGTTAATGGATTGGTCAGTCCATCAGCCGACGAGCTCAAGCGCATTATGATGGTTCACGGTGGCACATTTCATCACTATGAAAGATCCCACACAAATTTCATCATAGCGTCCAATTTACCAGACGTTAAAGTGCGTAAAATCGACACCAGCCGGATAATCAGCGCGCAATGGGTTGTTGATTGTGTTCAACAAATGCGCATTGTTGACTACAAGCCGTACTTGTTGTATACCAATCAAAAGACGACACAACCGCGACTTAATTTTGGCAAAGGCAAGAGCAATGATTCCACTGCATCGGAAGAAGCTGGATCGTTGGAGAATGTACTCAGTGACATACCAGTTCATCCAGAGACGGAAGAAGCGGGATCGTTGGAGAATGAGTTGGGTGGCATACTCAAAGAGCTGCAGCAGGCTGTGGCCACTTCACCAGACAAAAACTCAGCTACGGTAACAAATGTATCCACTACAAAAAATACCAGCAGTAGCGCTCGCACTGCCGTCGATCCGGCGTTCCTCAGCGAGTTCTACAAAAACTCGCGCTTGCATCATATTGCGACGCTTGGCTCCGGTTTCAAGCAATATGTTTGCGATCTGCGACAGGCCCATGGCGACAAATCGTTCGTTAAACGAGCCGAACTACGTACACAACTGAGTGGCATACAACAAAACATCTCTCACCCGAAGACTCAAAAGCGTTATGTGATGCACATAGATATGGATTGTTTTTTTGTATCTGTGGGTTTGCGAAAGCATCCAGAGTTGCGAGGCTTGCCCATTGCTGTGACACATTCCAAGGGAGGCAACGCAGCTGCAGATGTGCCAGTTCATCCTCGAGCTGATCGACAGGTAGAACAGGAGCTGTTTGCCCAACGTTTCGAGCACCTCTTGCACGACAACGTTCGTGCAGACAAAGTGCGTTATGGTTTTGAGAAAAAGATGTCGCTATCGGAGATTGCTTCCTGTAGTTACGAGGCTCGCGAAAAGGGCATCAAGAATGGTATGTTTGTTGGCCAGGCTCTAAAGCTGTGCCCCGAACTGAAGACCATTCCCTACGACTTTGAGGGCTATCGTGAGGTAGTAGTTTGACATACCTTTCAAAATTCTTGGTACTAATTTGTCTCTATAACAGGTGGCCTTTGCTCTATACAATACCGTAGCACAGTACACGCTCAATATCGAAGCCGTTAGCTGCGATGAAATGTTTGTGGATCTCACAGACTTGCTGCACGAGCTGCAAGTTGATGTCATGACGTTTGTGACACATCTACGTCAGGAAGTGCGTGATGTAACTGGTTGCCCCTGTTCTGCTGGCGTGGGCGACAACAAGTATGCGTAAACCGTTTAACTGACTTAAATATTTACTTATAAATTTATACCATGACAGACTTTTAGCTCGCATGGCTACCAAGTTGGCCAAGCCTAATGGACAGCATCTGCTGGACACTGATGATGCTGCCAAGTATATGTCCACCTTTGCACTAGACATTCTGCCCGGTGTGGGTAGCAGCATGACCTATAAACTCAACCAGGCGGGCTACCATACTTGTGGCGATGTTCAAATGGCTTCGCTGGTGCGTCTGGAAATGCTGCTGGGTAAAAAAATGGCTTTAACACTACACCAAAATTGTCGCGGCATTGATCTGCGTCCATTAGTCTACGAACAGGTAAGTCTTAGAAACGACCAATATCTAAAAATAAATAATTGTGCAATATTTCCTTCAGCAACGCAAATCTGTGTCTGCTGAGGTCAACTACGGCATACGGTTTACTAAGTACGAGGAGCTGGAGAAGTTTCTGCAACAGCTGAGCGTCGAGGTACACAGTCGCTTGATTGAGATCAAGCGCAAAACCAAATCGATTACGTTGAAGTTGATGGTGCGTGCTGCCGAGGCGCCCGTTGAAGCGTCCAAGTTTATGGGACACGGCGTCTGTGATAATCAGACAAAATCTTCGCTGCTGAAGGAAAGCACAAACGACGTAGAAGTAATTACTACTCATGTACTAAAGCTTATGAAAGAGTCCGGTTTTCCGCCACATGAGCTGCGTGGTATTGGCATACACTTAAGCAAGCTGGATGATATTTCCGATACAAAAAAGGAGAATGTCATCAAGAATATGTTTGTCAAGATGTCTGAGAAGCAAAAGGGTAGGCCCTATTTCTCATCTAATTTTTACTCGTATTTATAATCTTTGTCAATCTAGAAAAAACGGCTAACGGGGCAGCTTCTGTTCCAGCACCAGTAGAGAATAAAGTAAAGTCGGTTAACGTGGACGTGCTCAGCATGTTAAAGAGCGCTGCAATCAGCAAGAAAGCAACTGATGTATTGGAAGTATCAACAATTCCCAATGAGAATGAAATACTTGCGCCTACTACTACAGAGGCACGTAAGCAGGTGTTGGAAAAGAAAGCAAAACCACCTGAAATCAATGTTTTTAACATGCTGAAGAATGCCGCAACAGCTAAGAAGTCAACCGGTTTTCAGACCATTCCAACGGGCGAGTCACTAATATCCAACGGAGTAACACCGCCAGCCATAACACAGTTTGATGCGGATGTTCTGGCGCAGCTGCCGGAAGAGATACGACGCGACATACTCTGCTATCCGGAGGAATATTTGCGCGTAACTAAGAGAGACGTACATGACAAATGGGGCAACCAAACCGACGAACACAAAGAACATAACAATAAGAAGAGGAAATCGCGCTCACGTTCTAGTTCACGTTCACCAACGCCTCCACCACCGCCGCCATCGATGCGTATTGCAAACTCTACTGCAAGTTCTTTGAATGAAAGCGATCTAAAGCCTTCCACTTCAAAGGCGGCCCTGGCCAAGCAGAAGGCGCGCACTTGTCGCGCCGACCAAATTGTTGCTGATTACGTCCAGGAGCTCCCACAGCACGTGCATCCCGCCATCATGCAGTACCTCGCATCCAACAATACAATATCCCAAGTTCCACCTATGCCGGATGCTGTAGTGCCCGCTGCTAATCCAGATGCAAAGTCTGCGGAGGATATGAATGTGTTTGTGGATCCCAATTATAAAACTATGCTTGCCACTTGGGTGAAGTCAGAGGAGGTGCCCAAACCGGCAGATGTCGACCTCATGTACATGAACATTTGCTATCTGGTGGAAGAGAACAAAATGGACAAAGTCTATGAGGTTATGAAGTACTTGTGCCGTCTCATTAAGACTAAACGCGCCGGCAGCTGTCGCTGGCACATGGCGTACAATGAGATTGAGTCGAACATTCAGGAGAAAGTGCATGAGATATTGGATTGTCACATCTATTTCACAGAGGCAATCGATTGCTACAAGTGTGCCTAAGTCGGGTATAAGAAGCATAGCTTTAGACCCAAAGTACAAATGTTGCTTAGCTGTAGTTTGTGTATGCGCCACTTAAGTTAATCTACTTGTTAAGTACGTATTACTGATGTTTTTTGTAATAAGCTTTATATATGCTTGTGTATGGCATGACTAAACCAAAAGCTGTTAGCGCCAGTTGCTTTTATTGTTGGCCCGTAAATTTATTTATAAATCTGAAAAGTCCGAAGAGGGGTAATTAATGTCGTAAAAGCAGCAAGCGGTAATAATCGGACAATGACGACGATGGCGTTGATAACTTAACTATACAAAAGGGCGGCTCGGCAGTCGCATCTGAGCCGGCTAAAGACAAATAGGCCAGGCCAACACCTGGCGGAACTGGCAAGTCATAATTTGCACTTTAATGAAAGCGTCGTCGAACAGGTAGAGTCACTGCAGTTAATCGCCAACGACTGCCGGCAGCAGCAATATGTAATTGATTCGCGTGCCTGAGACCAGCCTCGAATCTCAATCCCAGCTCCAAGCTCCAGCCCCGCTTGACAAACTATAACAATTACAGAGCCAGTGCTGTGCCAGTAACAACCCCACACAGCAGCTGTTGTTGCCTTTTGCCACTGACAGTGGTAATTAAAAATAGTCAAGCTGCATTTCTTGCGCCGCATCCGGTTGAGTCGCCTCTCTGTGGGCTGGGCTGGGCCAGTTTCCCCTGGATTTACATGAGCTGCGCTTTGTCTGATTTAATTATGTGCGCAAAAGGCGTCGTTGTTTCATAAATTTTATGCATCCTGTCGCCGCTTCCACACACAGCCTCTACTGGCTCCTAGCTGCAGCCGCAGCCGCAGCCGCAACAGTAGCCGGTCTCTGTCTGGTTTTACACGCATAAATATGATCTTGTCTTATAGAGCCGCTTCAGCCAGCAACCAGATGCAAATGTTGTCAAGTTTTGATAGACTTGTTGGCAGCGCCAAACAGTTGCCAACATGATTTGTCAACGATGCCGCGGATGTACGCATGCGCCTAATCGAACTGAAGTCGAGCAGCTGGTAGCCATAAAGTTGTTGCTCTGAATTTCCTGTGCAGCTTCTTGCAGATAAAAGAAAAGAGTCTAAATTATTTTATAAGCAATACTTGAGGGAGAGCTTGAAATAAAGGGAAAGAGTGGGAGAGGTAAAGATATTCAGCTTATCTGTTAAGCTCTTTTTTTTAATATTTCTTTAATATATGTAAATTGAGCACTTATACTTCAAAAGACATTATTTGAAGTCATGACAATCACATATAAAAGTGATGTGCATCAAAGTGTTATTTATCTTTATAATCTGTCCATTCGCAAGCGTTTACCTATATCAAAGCTATTGCTTGAGCGCAAGCATTGAGCCAATCTCGGTGAGCTTTGCTTTTCCCACGCTGCGCTGACTAACAGTAGCTGGAAAAGCTGCTGGAAACTGTCAACCCAATCAGACGTGGCACTCGCTCCGACAAGATCACTGCCAAACAACCTAGGCAAGGCTTGGGCAACATGTAAATATGCATAAGGCACAGTCAGCAGCAGCAGCAACAGCAACAGCAACAATAAGCAGCGGGATTTGAAGTAACAACATCAGCTTGAGCATGTTGATAATGGGAGGCTGTCCCAGACTTGGCTACCAAATAAGCTGAACGACAACAAAAAGCAACATAGAACAGCATACGTATAAAGTTTGGCAAGATGTTTCAGATTTTGCCGCCAATGTTGCAGTTGTGCTGCTGTTGTTGCAGTTGCGTCTATGTAAAACTTCTAGCCAATTAACTTGGCGACCGGTGTGCCGGCAGACGAAGCCAAAGTCGAATGCTGCCGGTGCCTGTGCCGGTGCCTTATGATTAGAATCGTCGACAGCAGGCCGCCAAACGGGCACGGCAGCAGCAGCAGCAGCAGCAGCAGCAGCCGTAGCAGCAGTCGTCGCGGCAACAGCAACAACTAACCAAAGCTAATGAACCATGTTGCCGCTGATGAACCCGAGCTGATTAATGATGCCTGGCTGGCTGGCTAGCTGGCGAGCTGACTATCTGGCTGGCTGACTGGCTGGCAAGGGAACTTGCATACAACTGTGCAATTGGAAGTTTGAAGCTGCAACTGGTCCCCGAGGGCAGCTAACAACTTAACTAGCTTGGATGGTGGGCTTAGGGTTGTGGCCGAAATGCAAGCCAAAAGAAAATAAAAACGAAGTAAGAATAACAGCAACAACAACGGCAATTTTTGGCCAGCAAAAGAAGCTGACAAAAGTTGCCCATTGGCCAAACAAAGGCTCTGCGCTGGCGCACCTGAGAATGTTGATAGCCCCCATGGAGCCCAAGGCCCACAGAGTCCAACTCCAGCTCAAAAAGCTGAAAAGCTAAAATGCTGAAGCTCTCAAGTCCAAGTGCAAGCCGTTTTTTATGCCACTCAAGCGACGACAAGGCGACCAAAACAAGCCTGAACTCTGAGCAACTGGCAACTAGGGCTTATAGCTGTAGATGTTGTTGTTGCTGCTGCTGCTGCTGCTGCTGTTGTGGCTCGTTTGCGGGCCCTTTATCACATGCGCACATCATTTACTGGACGCAGCCTCGCGCACTTTAGCAATTGTGCCTTTTAAAGTGTTTGCGTCGTGACAAAATCAATGTTGCTGCCCCAATGCTGTTGCTGCTGCTGTTGCTGTTGCAGTGCCTGACAGCCGCTTGGACAGTGATTCATGGTTTATTAAGCGCATTATGCCGCAGGATACTTTGAAGTTGCCACAGCAACTGGCGACTGGCAACTGGCAACTTTCTGTAGCATCATCTGGCAACAGTTGCTGCTGCACGTGTTTTTAGCCCTTTTGTTGCCTTTGGCATTGGCAATGAACACTTGGCAGCGGGTCTAGAGTGCACATCTCTTCACGTTTTGTGGCCGCCTCTTCACTCCAGCAATTGATTACTTAACATGTTTTATGCGTACGGCAAGTTATGTGGCGACTGGCGCGTTAATTTGTGCCCGCTGCTGGCCTTGGCTGCTGCTGCGGCTCTATACTCTTAGACTTTTGCCCCTCTGTTGCATGGCAGCCAAACAAATTGCCGCTCGGCAGGCGCTGGGCCGTAAATCAGCGCACAAGTCAAAACACATCAACATCAGCATCGACAGCCGCATCGACAGCAGCAACAGCAAACCCATCAACAGCTTCCCAGACTAGACAAACAACACCCACATGAGGCACCTTCCAAGTGGGCGTGGCGAATGCGCCTCCACACCTACAGCTAGCTGCTAGCTCCACTCGGAGCGCTTGCAACGTTTGCATGTGCAATCGGAATTAATTATTAGCAAATGCAGCGTACAGCTAACAAATTCTCGCGTATATATCCACAAGATATATCCACATCCGAAATCTGAGTGTGCATGAGAATGAGATGAATTGCCAGTCGCAGATGCAGGCGCGCGATAATAAACGCGCCGAAAACGCGTCGGCTTGTTGCTTGCTCGTTGATTTATGCAATATAAACTGTGGGCCATACTCTCCAGATAGCTGAGCTGGGCTCTGATGGACCTGTTTTGATTTTAAATAAATACATATATAATATAATATGCTGGGCTTACCTACAGCTATATAGATTAAAGTAATTGCTGTTAGACTTTATTTCTATTCCATTGCAGCTATCAGCAGCTAGCAACACGATCAACACTGAGACTTATCAAATATATCTCAAATATGTATTTATTCTTTTTTTCTAAGAAGCGTATCTCCAGGAAGATAATGCTGTGATAGTGATACTCTATCAAAATAGTTGCTGAAGTATATAGAAAGTAGCTTGGCTAGATTTAATGCATTCATGAATGCTTTCGCTTGCTTTTACAGGGTATCTTCTTGCACATCATCAGCAGCTGCAGTTGGCAATTACATTACGTATGCCGAAAATATGCAAATTGGCAATTTGAAGTGTGAACGCCGCCAGTGGCAACAGCAGCAGCAGCCAACAACCAGCAACCAGCAGCCAGCAGCAGCAACTACAACATCAGTTGCAGCAATAGAAACTACAACAGCAACAAGCAGCAGCAGCAACTTTCTGTGAATTATGCCAAAGAATTGGCGTCGGAGTCGACGTAGCTGCACTTGTCATTAGAATGCAATCGAAGCGTCAGAAATAAATTACAAAATCGTGTAAAGTGCAAACTGGACGCACAGTTTTGTATTTACCTTTATTTTGCCTATTTTGTTTTTGTATTTATTTATTTTTTGACGTTTCGCTGGGGCACTGTAATCGCATTTATGGCCACATAAATCTTGGCTAAAATTTGCCGTTGCCTAACAAAGTTGTCGTTGTTGCTGTTGCTGTTGTTGTTGTGCCTGGCATTGGCTAAATGCATATATATATATAAAGTGTTTTTTTTTATCAATTGAGCCGCTCTTGGAGTGAAACTGGTCCAGCTTTGATTTATTTGCGTGCTCTGCGACGTCCGACTCTGGGCCGCGATAACATAGCGCGCTTTCACGCATTTTTAATGCCTCCACTCTGAATCGCTTATGGGCTGTAATTTGGTATCCAGTATCCAGCGCTCGATCTGCAGATATGTTAGTATGTATGTCGTGTGCAAGTGTGCTGCTTGTAATTGAATCAGAAATATGCTAAGCATGCCCAACAGACACGCCTCACCTGGCCGAAAGGTGGGCGTCTGTCATTGAGCAGCAGCAGGCGCAGCAGCAGCAGCACCAGCAGGTGACAGCTGGCAGGTGCAGGTCGAACAATTCACAATTCGCAATTCGCATGATTTGTCTGTGTAAGGCGCTGGCTCCATGTTAATCCGATCAAGATATCATGACACAAACATTCCCATTACATCAGCAACAGCAGCAAACCAATCTGTTAAGGCTCATTATGCCTGTGCCGCTGACATACAAAGATCTCTTGTTATGAATAAAAGAATCGAGGCAGCATTGCACTGCAGATTGATTAAACTTTGTGCTCCAGTTGTAGAGAGAAAGGGAAAAAATGCTTCTTATAATTAGTTATCATATGAATAACTATAATTTACTATCTAAATTAATTTATGAGGAACAAGTGAAAACTAGTGCTACTAGAGTTGAAGATGAAGAAGAACTAAGAGGATATATTTGTCTTGCATAACACTGACATGTTCAGTCATTTTAACAGACAAATCTAAATGATTTTGAAAGAATACAAATTGTATTCTAAATATGAATAGTCACAGTTCCAGAAATCATAGTCATGTACTAGTTACAGATTCATCGTACAAATGTTTCTTGATTACTAAATTCCATTTCAGTCAATAACTTCTGTACGATAACTATTTCAAATCGTAGACATAAGAGCTAAGAAGTATCCAATCTATCAAGATAATGTCAAGCTGCAAAGATAACAAGCCAAGCAACAGCTACGTTTAAAAATACTTCTTTAAAATACAGTGAAAACTACTACAAGTGTACATCTTCAATAGCCTAGACAGCTACTTACATATTTGATAAATTTATAGAACGAAATGACGAATATGCATAAAGACGTTCACATATAAGAAGTCTTCCACAGATGCACAGAGCGCTTGTAGAGTAGTTGTCAGCGCAGAAATATACTAATATATGTGTAAGTCTTAACTGCTTTGACATGTCAGCCTTCATTTCCATTTTCTTTTGGCCAGCCCAGCCTCTGTTTCCTGTGCTGCTGCACTTCACCCACTGGCCATATTGAAAGTCTATTTATATGCTATCTAATGCACAAGCCCATGCAAAATCCAATCACGGCAACATTTAGTCATTCCAAATGCTATATAAACTGACAGTCTATTTGTTTTATGTCAGGCCTTAGCTTCAGTTTTCAGTTTGGGTCTCAGCAGCTTGCAGCTTAGTGGCTGTGATTGCAGGCAGGCAGCAGCAGCAGGCAGGCAGACAGCAACTGTTGCTGCCGTCGTTGACACGCCTGCAATTGCACTGATATGAATCACGGGACCCGGCAAGAGCTGAGTGAACGAGAACTGAGTAGCATTATCTAGATAAATAATTATTCAACTTAAATCGAAATCGTAATGAATTTTTCGTTATACGTTATTCGCCGATTTTTTTTTTACTTTTGCGGGAGTGTCAAACTGACGGCAATACGCGTTCATTGTCAGTGCTTCGTTAGCAATATCGTCGGCTGGATGTGGCCGGGACAGAGTCGAGCTGGCAACATGTTGCTGCCAGCGCATGTTGCTGCCTTAATTGGACAGCGATACAAATCGCAACTGCGACTGTTGCTGCTGCAATTCCGACTGCTGCTGCTGCTGCTGCAACTGTTGCCGCTTCGACTGGGCATTGGGCCTCGGCCACGCCCAGCCAAAACACCTGCAACCGTTTACACGTCGACTCCAGTAAGAGCTGATGGCAATTTGTCAAATTCTGCCCGGCTGATCGCTGAGCTCACTTAACGCCCCGTCCGGCTAGCAATTATCCTTATTAGTCCCGACCATGGCAGAAAACACATTTGTGGCCCAAAGGGCTTAACGCACATACGATTTTTTGGGGCAGCAGCGCTTTTAACGCTTGTTTGCACTGATAAATGCGCAGCGACGGGCAACACCTCTAAATGTTCCACCAAAAGACTGAGCGCAACATAGCTAATTACATGGATGCGGCTGCCCCAACTGCCCCAACTGACTCTCTGCTTCCAGGAAGGCCAATTTCACACCAATTGAGCCTGTTGCTGCTGCCGTTGCTGTTGCCTGGCAAATGTTCTTTTCTCTGATGGCAGGGCCTATCATTAGCTACAGACATGGACATGTGCGAATCTGATTCAAAGTGTGCGCTCATCAATAGGAGCTCAGCTGCAATTATGGATCGCTCTGTCTGACTGTCTGTCCTCGTCTGCATTGTGCCGCATTTATGGCGCCGCATACGCCGGCAATTAAACAATTCACAACAACAACAACAATGTGACTTCTGGCCAAATTAAGAGTCTGACCATAGTTGGTCAATGGAATCGAAACAAGTTGTAAGCGATAAGAACGTAGCCATTGTTCACATTGCTGTTGCTGTTGCTGTTGCTGTTGTTGTTAGCATTGTTGTCGTTGACTTTGGCCGCGCTTTGTAATTATGGACATTATTATTGGCTACTACACACATTTACATGCTGTAGCGCCCGCAGCTCGCTTAGTAATCAAAGAGGCGGTTCCACATTCGCACAGCTACCGAAATATACCAACAGCAACAACAGCAACAGCAGCAGCATGAGCAACAACAATAGCCAAACAAGATGTTTTACATTGAATATGTATATCAACAGATTATTAAGCAACACCTGCTTAAAATTATAGCCAATTGGCATTGCTAACTGGTCCATCGGGCGGCTTTAATAGGCTTTGACAGTTGTCAGGCAATGCAAATGCAAAAGCTGATTTATAAGCTATTTACAGATCAAAATTTAAGATATCAGCGTTGAATGTTGAATGAACATAGTTTATAGGTTTTTTTTATGAAATCTTTGAGTTCTTCGTCTAAGTCTTTTGTTGATGCTTAAGCAAATTAGGAGTCTAAGGATTAGTTGAGTATTAGTTATATAATTTCTGGAGTAAAGGGAGTTGTTTTTAATAAAATTCATTTGTTGGCTTACATTTCACTTTTCTTTCTAACTGTATTAGATAAGATAAAAGACAATAAAAGGAAAGTGGAAAACCCTTTAAGCTTATAATCAATGCATTTTTGCTGTTGGCAGACTCAATTCAATCGAACTTTAATTTATTCTCTGACTGGATTGCTGAATTTTCTTTTAAAAATCAAGAATATTAGAAACCAAATCCTGTTCCCTTATCTAACGCTCAACTTCACATAGAAATCAAGTCAAATATAAATATACATTTACTTAGATAAGCTTCGGAGAGTAGTTGATATTTTTACTAATTTGTCTACTCCACAAATTGCAAGCTTGTAAAGATCCTACGCTGCCAAATTCTTCAGTTGAGCTGTGGCGATAGCCTAAAGTTAGTATGTTAGTTTTGTTGTCTATTAACTCGGTGTTAGGTTCATTCCATGCGCCACTCCGGCTATGCCATCATCTGTGATTTATGCGCCCAAACAAACTGCAGCAGCAGCAGCAGCAGCAACATTCAACAGTCAACAGCAACATCCAAGCACAATGCTTGGTGGTTGGCCCCGCAGCTAATTAATTTGCCATTTGTGTCCCATTAGCGTAATTGTCTGTCAGTTAAAACTCGCCATGTGCCCCCTTTGACTTTATAAACGGCCGGCGACGACGACGACTACGATGACAACGTGGCCAACTAGCCAGGTTGACCAGCAGCCGGACGAACGACCAAACAACCAACCAACCAACCTTTGCTTGCATTTTATGTGTCAACCATTATTGTTGTTGTTGTTGTTACTGTTGCTGTTGCTTTTGCTGTAGCTGTTGCTGATAATTTGCATAGTCTGCTAAAGAGTAGGTGACTTTTATGTGACGCGTCACGCATTTAATTTGAATTTGTTGTCAGCTGGCGCCTTTAAATTAACTGGGGCGTGGTTGCGTCCCACCTAGCTGAACAATGGCATTTGAAATGGCGCCCATCAGTCTATGGAACACCTGCAAGCCTATGCCCACTGCTAGCTCCCGCCCGTCACTCCCTACCTCAGCATTGGCCATCCTCTACAGATTTGCCAGGCAATGCCATAAATGAGCCAGAGCAGAACATTTTACGAGTAACTGCAGCTGCACAGCAATGTACGCCAAGGTATGAAGCTGGAATTGCAGCAGACAGGTGAGAGGGCTGTGAGTTGGGGGAGGGGAGTCTGTTTGCCTTATATGAAGCAGGCAAACGTTGTCGACGTTGTTGTCTGCGCATTTGGCTTAGATTGCTGGCGCAGATGTCGCCTGGAATAGAGAGACTGAGTAAGACAGGCTCTCGGCTTGGTCGAAGCCCTTTTGAAGGCAGGCAGCTGCTGCTGCTGCCGTTGCTGTCGGGAATGGGGCATGCAACATTGGCCCACGCACTTGTCGAGACTGGCGAAGCCAAACAAAAGCCACTGCAAACTCAATTTGCGAGCCAATAGAAACAACAGCCGCAACATTGTTGTGCGTGCGTGGGCGTTGAGCTGAAATCCCACTGCGGTTGCAGTTGCAATTTTCTCCAGTTGTTGCCCCTGAGGAAAACTTCTACCCGATTATATTCTCTTCAGTCATTGGTTTGCCTGGTTCACCTGGTTATATAATTCCCATTCCATGGCAACGGCACTTAAACGTTTTACGTTATAATCTTTATGGCCTCGCCATGGGATGTAGCAGCAGCAGCAGCAGCAGCATCATCTCCTCCAGCTCCAACTGCAAACTTAGCCCCCTGCTGCTGTGGTGGCAATCGACAGGCCGCTGCCCTTTGGCTCATTAAAGTTTCGCCTTTTTTGGGGCGCTATCTTATCATAAAAATGCAGTTGCTTCAACACCTGCAGCCGCATCAAACACACATTTGCACTCTGATGCAATTTGGTGCCGCGACGGGGCACCACAAATTTCAATCAGCCATAATAAACTGTAAAATATTTTCGGCATTTTGGGTCATAAAAAAGGAGATCGTAACATGAAATTCGAGAAGGCGAAATGCTCCAGCTTTTTTTGGCTGAGTGCTTCAAATCAAGGATTAAATGAGAATTTTTAAAAGAAAGAGCTTAACATTTTTGTTAAAGATTAAAAAATGCGTAGGAAGTTGAATTAAAAAGAACGAAAAAATGATAAGCTGCACTTTAGAGTATTGAAATAAATCTTAATTTAAATATTTAAAAAAATGTTATTGACAGAGTCGTAAAGAAAGTAAATCAAAATCGTGTTAATCATAAAATATACTTTCCATGCAATTAAGATTAACAGAGGTTCGAATCATTAAGCATCTAACAGCGAGCTGTTAAAGGATCTGCAATGTATTAACTGCTGTTAATGTATTAACTGTTAAGTCTACACTAATAGAAATCTGTTAAGACTAGCGTCCATACTTATTGACCGCTGCTAAGCTTAACAGCAAGCTGTTAAAAGTAGCTCTCTGGCATGTTAACTAATTTGAAGGTGCTAAAGTTCTGCTCTGGCTTCTGTTTTCAGACTTAAATATGATTTTTAGGAAAACTAATTTCAAGTGAATGTTAAGCAGCTTTGCCTGGCCACGAAATGCAATTAAGAAACTGTCTCAGCCTTTGACATAACTCAGAGGCCGATTACCTTTCGGACTGCCACAAATCAACGCAACTGCCGCCTACGAGCGCGTTATCGAGCCTCGTTTACTGCGGCTTTTGTCTCGGTCTGGACCACAGCAGGGTGTGGCGCCAGGGACAGTGCAGGACATGGCCAATGGCCAATGGCCATTGCCAAGTGGAAGCGCATGCGCAGCGGGTTTTATGCATTTTAATGCCTGGTCCTCGATCTGAAGCTGGACCCAGTTGGAGCCTGTCGATCGTTGTTTATGTTGGTGTTATTTTCATTGCAAACAAATGATGAGGAACACGCAAACGCACTCAAAGCCCAACCATATCGTCGCTGCAGACACACTGAAACAGAAATTGAAATCAAAATAACTTGGACGAAGGTAGAGCGAGTCTTGGGAGACAGCAGCGGCAACGACATACATTAACTTGCCAGCTAAAATTTAGTAAAACTTATGCTTGATTTTTAAGTGGAAAAAGAAATGTATTTTACGAGCCCAAATTGAAGAAACGCGAGTCCTGAGCACATTCAGAGATGTGCTTATGTGCACAAGAGAAACAACCGTTACATAAACCATTAAGAATGTGATTTAACAGAAATTTTAGTAAAAATATGATATAGATCTGTTCACCTTTGCAAGAGCTTTGGTAGCTTGAAGTGAAGTCAGGGTATAGCTAGTCTGACACTCCCCACCAGATAGACATTAAATGGACCATATTCATCAGAAGTCTTGCTGCATGGTGCTAGCTAAATACTTGGAGTTCCGGATAATTTCTAGTCGGACATACCCGTTGTGTCCTCAAACAGTTGGCAGAGCATCAACTGTTTGGTGCAAGGTGCGAATCGAAGCTTAGAAAGAAGTAGCTCGAGTTACGCGTCGATCGTCAGCATGGCAGCTGCCTGATGGCTCAATCAGGTCAGGTTACCTGGTTACCTGCTTGCCAAAGAAATTACCCGTCAAGCGAAGAAAGTTGCTTTGATATAAAAGAGAAGAATAAAAAAAAGCACTTTAGCTACGATCGACAAATTAGCAAAAGCGCAGGACGATGCGGCACAGGCCAATTAAAATCTCATTAGGCAGCAGGCCAGCCTCTGGGCGTAGGGGTAACCGTGTTGCCGGAGGTAGGTAGGGGTATTCAGATGCTGCTTTAATTGCCGGTTCGCCATGACCAAAATATCCGGCGGGCAGCGCGCAACAAAATCACTTTCAGCACGTGCAGTGGCCCAAAATGATGGGCACTTGCATTAAACGAAATCGTTTAGCCGAGACTTAAGACGTGGCTTAAGCTTCACAAGCAGAAGCAGGCAACAGAGAGAGAAATGGCAGAGGTAGGCACAACTGCGACTGACTGGCTGTGCAATTAAAGCGCCAACTGACTGCCGAGAGGCCGAGTCCATGTCCAAAATGTGTTCAATTTAAATTAACGATCAGCGCAAAATCACAAACGGCAGTCGGCTTGAACATTGAATGGAAGCCTAGAGGGGGTACGTCGGGGTAGGCAGCTTCGACAACGTGATTGAAAGAGAGAGAGAAAGAGAGAGGGAGCGAGGCAGAGGGAGGTAAAACAGCAGCATGCAACATGCAACCGATTTCGAGACTTTTTTACAGCTCCAGATGCGATGCAATTAAGCAAAAGTTTTATTTAAATTGCTGGCGTTCAACAAAAGTCCTGCTCAAGGCAGGTAGGGGGCGTTGGGCGGTAAGGCGGTAAGGCTGGTGGCTAGAGGGTTATCGTGGGGCTTGCTGCAGAGGTCTCTGGGTTTGTGGCTCACATATGTTTGCTAATTTCTGCGTGCAATTCGAACATTAATTAAATGCAACATTTTAGCTATAAATTGTTTGCTTAATTGCCATTTTGGTGTAGCTTTAGCTGCGAGAGAGAGAGCGAGAGAGCATGAGCAATAGACAGAGAGCGAGAGAGGGAGAGGGAGGAGTGGATTGTCGGCATGTCGGCAATGCAAACAGTTGGCAAGTCATCCTCGGCCATAAATAAATTAAAAGTCCGCTGCAAAATGACAGCAACAACAGCAACAGTTGCTGCTGCCAGCAAACGAGGACGAAGACAGCATCAATTCAGAACAAGAGCAACATCAGCTGCAGCAACATCAGCAGCATCAGCAGCAACTACTTATACATATATTATTAATGATGGCGGAAGCAAATGCGGCGCTTTTGATAATGTGTCCTTGTTGTTTGCCGGTTGTCCAAAATGTTGACGTTGTTTGGCAATGTCTACGCCATGACAAACGCAATGGCATTGGCATTGACAGTGTTGCAGCTGCAACAGCAACATTAGCATTGGATGCTGCTGCGGCCGCTGCTGCTGTGGCAGCTGTGGCGCCGCATAACTTGGCACCAAGCTGGCAAATCGGTTTACCAAATAGAGCTCCACAACCAAAACCAAAAACCAAATCGTGGACATGCAGATCAGTGTAGCTCTCTGTAAGACAAAACTGCAATTGTTGCTGTTGCTGTTGCTGTTGCTCTGTGCTGCCGCAGCTCCAATTCTTTGTTGCATGTTGTTCGATTTCAATGGCGCCAAATGTGCGCCGTGGGCCGCCAACTCCGTCGCAGTTGCAGACGCAACAAAATCCTTGGCTTTGCCTGTTCAAAAATGTTTTGCCAGCCATTTAGGCCACAGGCCACTGGCAGCCAAGATACGAGTTATAGACAACCAGATAAACCCAAATACTTCGACGGCTGCGCTGTGCCGCGTGACTTGATTTGAGACTTGAGGGCGTGCAACTCCAAGTGGCAGCGAAGCCTTAGCAAAACGATACGCAACTGCAGTTTTGCAACTCAAGCCGCCAGACAAACTAACAAACTATCAAAATTAATGCTCAGCTTAACTTGAGTTTCACATAAATATTTGTTTTAGTAAACTACACATAAATGGAAATAGCTAACTTTGCGACTTTAGTCTTTATATAATCCATATATACTTAAATAATCTGTTTGAGCATCATTTTCTTGCTTCTGTGACAATTAACAGAAAACTGTTAACCTCAAGCTAATATTTAGCATTTTTGTTAGCTATTAATCAACACTGTTAAGCTTAATAGAAAACGTATGCAGAGTTTTCCCTATGCATTGCCAGCTGTTAAACTTAACATAAAACTGTCAAAATTCAGCATATTCACATATTAAATTATTCACATATTAAATTAAATTGATTAGCTAAGCGACATTCCCGTCCTTGTTTATGCTTTAGTTATTAAGTCACTTATGCAGCAATGTCACACAGAAATCAGTTTAATGACTCAATATCATTTAATTAAACATTTAAGCAGTAATTACATAAGCCATTTAGCACAATTATTGCGAGTCTTAGCTAAACTTCGGGCAGCTGCAATATGAGTAGCTCTTTCGCTTTGGCATTTGCTACATAATTAAAAGTCTAGATTCTAATTACTCCGTATGCCAGCAGCTGTTGCGCTGCATTGTGCCAGTAGCCATTTAAAGGTGCATTCATTTATGCAAATGCCACAACAAATCTCAGAATCGCAGTCGCAGTGCCCAAGCTCCCAGTCTCAGGGTGTGCAAATGACAAACGACTTGAACTTGTGACTGTAGGCCGAAAAATATAGCAAGTAGAGAAGTCATGTATGTGCCAATGGTGACTATTGAATGTACTTGCTGAAGATGTGTAGGACTTGGTTTTATAAAGTTAAGACTAATTAAGTTTCGCATAATAGTCTGGGTGGGATCATGTAGATATCTTAACTATATTAAGCAAAATCAATATATATAATTAAAAATAGGCATATCAGTTGAGGATGAAGTTTTAATACTCTCTGGTTCATACAGATGTATAAAAGCTTTCTTAAAATGATATATGATGAAAGTGGGCTAAGTTAGGTCAGGTTGGGGTAGACACTTGTACTTAAACTGTCATAAAACCTGACTTGAATATATAACTTAATGTTGCATAACTCATATCATAGTCATATTACTCTCTTCTTAGTGTATTAAATATGAATTCGTAATTTTTTAATAAAGTTTGTCGTTTTGTCCGTCGGCCAACTCATAAATTCTGCGTCTTAAGTGCGTTGCGAATGGGTTGCTTGAATGTGTGTGTGTATGTGTGTTTGATGTGTGTGTGCACATTCATGTATATATAATTTACATACACACACGCTGCGAGGGGTCTGAAGGTGAACCGCACGCAGCGTCAAGTTTGTGCCTTAAGTCTTTCGTTACGTTTTGGCACTTTTGGGTGCGTGCGCATTTGCATTGCAATTTTTTTAATTGATATTTAATTGCAACCATGGCACACACATACACACACACCCAAGCACACATTTGTGTTCATTTCTACTATATGATTTTGAGTATTTTTTTATTGATCTTAAATGCGCGCAGCTGCAAACGCTTTTATTATTTATTTATGATTTTAAGCACAAGTTAACAAAACTATTTATGAGCGCAAACTTCAATTTGAAAAGAAATTATACTTAAAAAGAGGAAATTACATTTTTAGTTCAGTTTTATTACACATTTTTATCGCAGTTTTATGAGCAACATTTTTATCGGAACAAATATTTAAGCTTAATTCAATTATTATTATTAAGAAACGAGCAGCTGCGCAGCTGGCACAGACAGATGCCGGCAAGTGGCTCATCTCAAGTTTTTGTCTATCCTTTGTTCGGCTCACTGAATATGGAGTCCTCGCTGCCACTTGCTGCCAGCTCATCTAACACTTTTCAAGCTCAATTCAAGTTCTCACGTTCGCATTTGTTTGGCTAATTTGAATTGTTCCTGAAACAGGAAACGCATTCAAATCTCTTTTGTTCGTGTTTGCTTTTGTCAATAATTCCATTGGGTGTATGTGTGTGTGGGAATGGAAAAGCAAAATCAATGGCGTTGGCGACAGCTTCGACCGGCCCAGGTCCAAGTCGCAATCCTCTAATTGCGACTAACAGCTCCAAATTTGTCTTGTTGCTCGCTGTGGGCGCTCAATTGGTCTCTGGAAAGGTTCAATGCATTTCAATTTGCCGCAATTGCCAGCGTTTACAGCTGGCAACACGGCTTGTCAGACCGAAAAGACTTCGCCTTCGAATGAGCAACAAGATTGTGCAAGGGCAATTTTATAGTCCAGCTGTGATTGATTGATTTCTAGACTAAAATGTGGGATATAATTAAGAGCTGCAGACAAAATGCTAAAATGTATTACTATTTATATTTAGATAGTGGATTTTTAAAACTGCTTTTAAAAGTAGCTCCTTCCCCTACTTCTCTTTCTTACTATTCCCTTCCTCCTGCCTTCCTCCACCTCCTTCTCCTTGTCCTCTTCCTTCTTCGTCATCCTCCTCATGCTTCTCGTCCTCTTCACCCTCTGAACTGCTCGCCCACCAGTCGATCACATGCAACAACAACTTTATTATCTTATCATCTGAAATTGAGTATTTATATTGACATCCATAAAATTAATTTTGAAAATGTTTGCAATTTAAGTATTTTATTTATATGATCTTTGTGGGAGATATTTGGCTGCAGCTTGAAAATTGCATGCAAGATGAAAATAAATAAGAAACGCTAAGTAAATACAAGAAACTGAAAACTGTTTTTCCCATGACCTCGAAAGCCGGTGCC